GACATCTTTTCCGTGTAAAAAATTACATAATATTTAACAACTTAATTAGCACTATTTTGGACGTCTAAATTACTTATCTGAATATGGTCCTTAGACGTAATAATAAATCAATAATGTTATGAAGCTAAAAGAATTTCGGACTCCTATTGAACAGAAATTTTGACAGCTTGCATTGGATCACTGGCTGTTATCAAGTGTAAACTTGATAAGAATAGATATAATATCTTTTCTTATATATATCTTTGTATTTTTCAGTTTTCAGTAATATAAGAGTAATATGGTAATATCATTTACTTCATGTAAAAAGTTCCTTCGTCATTTTGTCAATAAAATAATTTTCTTTTAATTTATAAAAAAACTAGCGTGTACCAGCGACTTTGTTCGCGTCGAATTAATCATTTGTAATGGTGATGATAAAGCAAAGCAAGAATTTCCATTAATATACAAACTGGATAAAATTTTCTCACATTTATGTCAGCATGAGAAAAAACAATATGGCGATATTATTATATAACTTGGTAATATTTGAGGCGTAGTTTCATCTCGTTGGAATTTGACTTTCGAAAAATCCGTTTGCCAAAAATAAGCTTTTCACGTCAAGCAGTTTAAGCAGAATCATGGTTAAGAAATTACCCAACTTTTTGGAACACCCTGTATAATTTTTTAAAAAAATTCAAAAAATGTAAAAAAACCAAATAAATTATGCTTGTCCAAGCGTTTTCCCGCAAGACTAACCGTTTTTTAAATAACAAATATTGTAATATTTGAGAGGCGTTTTCACCCTCTTGGAATTTGAGATTCGAGAAACCGCTCCTTATCGAACCTCTACACCCCACAGTCAATTCGTTTACCAAAAATCAGCTTTAAATGTCAAGCAGTTTAAGCAGAATCGTGATTACTCAATGGGCATATTTTAAAACACCCTGTATACTGTATAAATTTATAAAAAATCTTAAAATATGTAAAACAACAAAATAAAAATAGTTTTTCAGAAAAAATCACCGGTTTTTAAATAAAAGATATTTTAATATTTGAGGGATAGTTTCACCCCCTTAGAATTCGAGTTTCGAAAAATCCCTTCTTATCGAACCTCTACCCCTTAAAGTCAATCTGTTTTCCAAAAATCAGCTTTTTACGTCAAGCGCTTTAAGCAGGATCGTGATTAATTAATGGCCAGATTTTTCGAAACACCCTGTATACATTTTTAAAAATCTTAAAATATGTAAAAAAACAAAATAAAATATATGTGTTTAAGTGTTTTTTCGGAAACTTGACCATTTTTTAAATAAAAAATATTGTAATATTTGAGGGGTGGTTTCACCCTCTTGGAATTGGAATTTCGAAAAATCCCTTCTTATCGAACCTCTACACCCTAGAATCAACCTGTATGCCAAAATTGAGCTTCTTACGTTGAGTGGTTTGAGCAGGATCGTCATTAATCAGTATGTCAGTCACTTAAGGATTTTATATATTAGTACCTACCTGCAGATTATATTTTGTTTTAATTTTTTTATTAATGTCCTTACATGGGTGTAGCTACGTTTTGATTTCGGGTGGGGCTAAAAAATGTCAAAGTAGGTACCAGAATTATTTTTTTTACTTTATACGTTACTCAACAAAACAGTAAGTTCGTTTTAAACGTAGCCTGTGGAAGGTCTGGCTAAATCTTGACAAAACTTTGATTTCAAATTTATTTTCTGCTTGTTAAACCAATCTAAATTTCATCTATAAGATTTTGGTCATGATTATGTTGGTATTGATTTATATATTAAACCGGAAATTATATCTTATGCATCTTCGGATTGTTACGAGGTTTCTGGGTTTCTAACAGGACACTGTCTCCTCAACGAACACTTCAGTAGGCTGAAGCTGAGAAACAACAATGGCGAATGCAGATTCTGTGGGGAAAATGGGGAAATCCCAGAACACCTTATCATTGAGTGTACTGAGACGACGACCGTTCGTGCCATGAACTCTGGTACGGTTTATGTGTGTGAGGATTGAGAGCTGGTCTCTGTGGAGCCATCACAGATATTGGCTTTTGTTAAAGCCCTGACACTGTATGATGAGTTATAACTCGTTATAACTCAAGAAAGGGGAACACACAATAGATCCAGTAATAGTAAGGTCGTGGTGATTAACCCCCTTCTCCTAAACATTCTATATATCTTATGCACGATATCTGGAGTAAATGTAAAAATCTGATGCTCTTGAATATTTGGCAAATGTATTGCAGAAAAAGGCAAATAAATCCAAACATTTGTTTTTTGCTGCTTATACCATTAAGGTCCAAAAGTTGAGGTCCAACCCCATAATATTCTAACTCCTAACCATAGAGGTCCAACAAAATAATATTTTCATCTTGTATATACTCTTTGTTACTTCATTCGAAAACTGAACTAAAGAAACTACCGGCTATCGGTGCCATAGCTGATCCTTGGTCATATTTGTTTAATTAACACATCTTTGTCAACATACTCCTAGTCGCTTACATAAAGAGAAAAAACAAAGTGTCTCATATATAAGAACTTCGGCGACATGCATTTGTCAGTATTAAGTGTGATTTTTACTCCATCCTACACAATGCAAGCTGTCAAAATTTCTGTTGTCGTTTTTGTTTGTGCGGCAAGTTTGGTTCTTTCGGCACCCGTTGAAAATGAACCCGTGCCTATCGTAGCCCAAGAGAGCGACATTCAACCGGACGGTACCTTCAAATGGTCCTTTGAAACAGGAGATGGTGTTAAACAAGAACAAAGTGGACAGCCTAAACAGGTTTGTATTAGTTGACACTCCAAACAGAATCTCAAATTAGTATTTAGTTGGAAAATGGTTTACAATAGGAACTTATCAGTTATTATTTGATGAAGTTGTAGAATGTAGAATGTCTTAAAACAAATTTAAAACTAAACATAATAAAGTAATAGAATTCGCAATAATGTCACTATTAATTAATTTACACACACGGCCAAAATTATTGCATATAACGATATTTTTATTTAATTTTTGACCTAATATGATTCTTTTTATATTTTTGGACATATTGGCTTACTATACGACTAACTAATATAAAATTAAAAATCTACGTGCAACTAGGCTGTTATTATAATTTTATTTCAGAGTGAGTGAAAATCAACAAAAAAATTCATTTTAAACAGAAAATATCGAAAACAATTTTAATTATTTTTCACAACTAATAGTCTGTATTGCCTCCTCGAGCTTCAATGCAAGCTGTGAGACTACGTGGCATGCTCTCAATTAAGTTATCCAGAAGATGTTGAGGAATGGCTTTCCGTGTTTCGCGGGCAGCAATTTTCAATTCATTTAAGGTAAAGGGGGGATCATTCCTTTTGGCAATATGGCGTTTTAGCATGTCTCAAGCATGCTCGATTACATTCATATCTGGATTCCCTTAGACCCTCTTCCTCACAAAATTCGTAAACCGCTAAAGTGCGATGGGGAGGAGCATTATCGTCCATGTAAACAAATTCATCCCCCACTGCCCCTCGAAATGGACGCACTAAAACGTCTCTAAGATATGAGGCGCCTGTAATTGTGCCATCAATAAAAACAAGAGGAGTTCGAGCTCCGTGCATTATACCTGCCCATACCATAATGCTTCCCTATTGAAACGGGACACGGGGTGAGCTGTATTCAAGCGTGCTCGTCTTCCAGATGCTCCAAAGTTCGTCGCGAGTCTGACACTAGGCCTATTCTTGTTTCATCACTAAACATGACGAAATCATTTGCTCTCATCTCCTCAGCCCATTGTAGTCGCGTAATTTTGTGTTGTAAATTAAGCTTCGAAACACGTAAAGGCCTCCTTAAATGTAATCCTCTGTCATGGAGTCTTCTTGTTATGGTCTTTCTTGAAACATTTACTCCTTTAGGGCGAGCTAACTCATTTTTAATAGCAGTACTAGAAAGCAGGGGATTGGGTCGTGCAATTAGGGATATTTGACGGTCTTGCACAGCAGTAGTAACTCTCTTTCTACCTCTTCCCAGGCCGGTTTGTAACCTAGTTTGTCTCCCCGAATTTTTTTAATATTCGCAAAACATCGCTTTGGCTAACTCCTACAATTTCAGCTATTGCAACTTGCCGGTAGCCCTGTTGAGACAGTGTTACAATTCTGACTCTATTAAAATGTGAAATAATGTTTCTAGGTATTTTAAGGCCAAAACAATGGTCAAATTTCTTCTGAAACCCAAGAGACCACAAATCGAAATGTGCAAGAATTTGTAATAATATTGGGTCTGAACGATAAACATTGTTTACCATACCTATTTTAACAAAAAAATGTTTATTACAGATTATCAAAGCTATGTATAAAAAAAGATTTTTTAAATTCCTTTCCGTATATTTTGAAACGATATTTTATGCAATAATTTTGGCCATGTGTGTAAGTTGTGACCGAGGGGTGTCTCACTCGGGCAAAAAATGTACACGTACTGCCAAAATATTCTTCCACTGCTAAGCGACTGCCAGTGACTATGAAGAAGACTGCCTATGACTGCCATGTAATTATTATAGGCGACTGCCATAAGACTGCCAATGACTGCCAGCGACTGCCAAGAAAATGTACATGTAATTCCAATAGTGAGACACCCCTCGGTTCTGACACAATGTCCTTATCGATTTAGTACTACGTCTAAACGAAACTAATTGTAAAATGAATAGCAAAATAAATTTAGGTAGGCCCTGACGAGCCGCTACTGATTATATCATTGACTCAAGTTTAAAAACTCATGACAAAAGTAAAATACGAAAAATTAATTAAAATATACAACATTATGTTCACTTCATATGATTAAAAACATAGTTACCATTAAATATGACTGACTGCCATTGCAAAATAATTATAATTAATGTCCTCTTGAGTAAGTTATAAGTCAAGAAGCACTAAATATACCCTGGCCAATATATTATCACGATATTTGTCTATTTTAATGTTTTTGTTAATGAGTTTAGAACCTTATATAAGAATTGTCTGTTTCTTTAAACAGAAGTAAGTATCTCGAACGTTATTATTAGAAAAGTGTATGTATTTTCCAGTGAAATGAATCTAGTCAAAAGTTTGTTGATTATAATATCATTTAGTATCGTGGTTTCTGATTCGGTTGATCGACAACATGTGAGAATCATATCTCAAGAGAATGATATTCAACCTGACGGGACATTTAGGTGGTCGTTTGAAACCGAGGATGGTACTAAACAAGAGCAAAATGGCCAGCCGAAACAAGTCAGTTGTAAATTATATTGTTGAACCTTATTGCTTATTTAAGTATACCGGGTGCGTCTCAAAAGTGGCTCAGCCCTATAACTTTTTTATTTTTTCAGATAAAAAAAACGAGATTGTATGTTAGTATAAATTACATAAATTAGGATTGATTGACGTGATCAGTTGTTTTTGGTCGCTTCCTGTTTCACCGAAAATGATTACAACTTTTGATTTTTAAATGGCACTGTCGGTATTTTTTTACTTTATTCGATAGAAAATGACACTCTGAGTAGAATGACATATCATACATCAACTTTTGACATTTTTGCTTTAAAAAAATATATTTTAAATTTCAATCTAGAGTGCCATGGTTGTGTTAAAACAGTAATTTTTTATTAAGGAGCATTGGAAAAATAGATTTGATTGTCTAATGTGTTTCATGTTTTGTCTTGGCAAGTTAAAAAATGTCCAAATTGTATTTTTACTCATATCTCAATTTTTTCAAGTGGAACGAGGGTGGCTCATTAGCATAAATATTTGAAAAAATGTATTTTTTACCTTAATAATAATTTGGTACCACATACTTGGTATTTCGAGTCAAATTGTCGTTAACCGCATGTTACAATTTCAAATAAACCATATGAGAAAATATCAAAAGTTGACATTTGAAATGTCACTCTATTTAGAGTGTCATTTTCTATTGAATAAAGTAAAAAATTACGGAGGGTGCCATTTAAAAATTAAAAGTTGTAGTCATTTCCGCTGAAACAGGAAGTGACCAAAAATAATAATTGAATACGTCAATTAATCCTAATTTGTGCCATTAACATACCAAATCACGTTTTTTTTTAGCTAAGGGGTGAGCCACTTTTGAGACCCACCCTGTATAAATAATTTGGTAATAATTGGCCTGGATAATACACACGGTTATTTCGAGTCAAATTTTCGTTATGAACCGCATGTTACAATTCCAAATAAACCATATGCGAAAAGGTCAAAAGTTGACATATGATATGTTATTCTATTCAGAAAGTAATTTTCTATTGAATAAAGTAGAAGGACCGAGGGTGCCATTTAAAAATCAAAAGTTGTAAACATTTCCGGTGAAACAGGAAGTGACCAACAACAAAATTGAACACGTCAATTAATTCTAATTTATGGGAAATTAAAATAACTTTGGTTGCACATCATAATACGACCACCAGCAAACTCCATAAGACGACGCATGGTGTCATTGATGACGTGCCCGAGAGTTGTTTTAATTTCAGATTTTTAAAAAAATCATATTTTTTTTTAAATCAGATTTGTTTGATTTTAATTAAAAACAATATTTAAATCGGATTTCCAAATGACTAGGACTTATTTCCAATTAAAGTCCTATCCTAAATGGCTAAATCTTTATAATTCTGCCCGATATCGATAACATTAATAATTGTAGGGTGCGTTTGTTATTTTTCCACATTGGTCACCAATATATTTCTCAAAAAAGTCACTCGCTTCAGATGAAAAGGATTATTTTTCAAACTTCTCAAAAGTATTAATTTTTGTCATTTTAACGCTTAGGTATAAAACTAAAGCACTGTAACGCCTCAGCACAAAAGTACTAAAATATATTATTAAACTGATATTAAGTGTCAATTTCAACGAGTGTACAAATTGTTGCTCGATTACTGTTTATATTATTTGAAATATTTGAAATTGATTAAAAAATGATTTGTCATGTTTCCAAAAAATAGTTAATGCATGTTCTATTAGGAGTAAAAACGTACTTTTTGTGCTTCCTGGTAACGTCGAAATAGCTTTACGATGGTATTTCAAAGGGACAGCATCATCAAAAAAGTATAATTTTTACTCCTAATAAAACAATACACTATTGTTCGGAAATAGTCTTAAGTCGAGAATGAAATTAGTATCATCTAATGTCAAACTGTAAAATACTTACTGCAGATCAAAATGTCGGTAAGAATTTGGAAAAATACAACCGTTACAAAAAAAAATAAAACAATATATTTCCTGACAACGATTATAGATTCTCGGGAATGAAGATATAGTCTCTATATCAGAAGAACCTAGTTCTGCACTAGACTGCAAATGATATGTATTCGAATAGCGAATTTTTGTCACCTAAACAGCGGTCTAATGGATTCACACGAAATTACTTCAAAAATCGGTCCAACATTTAAATCGATGAATAGATATTTTTATATAGTTTTATAACATGTACTTATATTACTTTTCGATTTATTATCTGTTATATCTTTTATAGAAATATTTTTTATAGTTTTCTAGGACATATTTTTATAACTTTTACAGTTATTTTTTGATTTATAATAAAGTTTCAATAAAACTATTTATTTTGATTTAAATCACATGATTAAAATTAAAAAAAAATCACTTGATTTACATCACGATTTAAATCATGATTTAAATCATGCCAACCCTGCCTACTAACATAAATCTCGTTTTTTATCTAAGAAAATAAAAAAGTTATAGGGGTGAGATATTTTTGAGACGCACCCGGTATATGTTATTTTATTATTTAGTATAATGTTGTTCAATGTATTAGTTACATTTTAATAGATATTTGGTTCATGTGGTTTTGACTGATTGCTTATAATAATTTGACATTATTTTCATTAAGAATCTCAATTTTTTATCGGTTTTACTTTGGAACAGTGGCGTAGCGTGGGTTAAGGGCGCCCGGGGCGGAGAGCCACTAGGACAGAGATTTGCCGCCCCTACAGAATCCGTCCGCCACCTTTGTAACAATCTTTTGTCGCCCCACAGGCACTTGGTAGCGTCGCCGCCCGGGGTGGACCGCCCCCTCCATGCTACGCCACTGCTTTGGAAAACTGTCCCTGGAAAACCTCAATCTAGAAAACCAGCTTTCTGATTCATGAACTGCTCCACCATTGAACAAAAATTAGTCAGTACCGAAAGTACCGGTATAACCGGTAAATCCCGGTTCCTAAGAGGTGCGGTACCGAACTTCCCGGTTGCGATAAACAACTCCGGTTCCGAAAACCCTAATGGATACAAGAGACTACCGAATGCTGTTGCTAGAATATTCTATTAATTTTAACTGTATTTTTTAGACATTGTGAATGATCGTAAACTAAAAAGTATAGAGTGTAATTGCAACCATTAATTATTTATTCCACTAATTTCGATATTTTTTTCTTATAATATACCAACAAACGGCGTCCAGTTGGCTTGGAAATGAACATCCTCATATAATATTTTTCATATAAAATTAATGACAGTGATCTTCATTTCATAGCACTCGCTGACGCCGTTTTTTTCGATTATATTGCATTTTTCTTCATATGTACGATAGTTTTTCGTAATATTTTATTATCTATTGGTTTGTTTATACAACCTTTTTTCAAGTCGCTTGCTTGATGTCCAAAACTGGCTAACCTTCCGCAGATAATAAACCACAATTGTGTCATCTTCGTAAATACCTTGAATAATTTAAAACTGAAATAACGCAATACTTTTCATTAATTCGCATATGCATATACATATCCATTATTGAGGACGACTCTATTTAATTTGTTTGTATACAGGGTGGATACATTCCTATCTTGAACTCTACTACTGCTGGTTCCTTCTTAGTCGAATTCTCTTTTATAAGAATGAGAAATCAGGTAGCTTTGATGAAGAGAGAAAATGAAGAAAAATTTAGTACTCGTTTTAAGGAATTAATTGATGAAATCAAATTCTATGAGTATTATAGAATAAATCTAATACTCCTTAGTAATGTCGGAATTTTACTTTTTGTGGGAAAATTACGGATCAGAGATGTGTGAATATATTAAAAAAAAAAGATTTTTTTGTTTTCTTATCTCTCATAGTTTTAAAGATACCAATGTTAGGCATCAAAATTGCCATCACCCTGTACATTAAAATATTAATTTATGACTGTTCAAATCCGAATGTTAATTATTATGATGTAAAATATTTACTGATTTTCTTTGTCGTTAGTGTTAATGTTTTCTCTTCTTATTAGTTTTACATGTTACATTGTTGCTAAAGATTACAAAACCATTGGTTTTGTTTTAGCAGTTAATATTTATGTACTGTGTGATCGAAAAAAACGGCGTCCAGTTGGCTTCGAAAAGAACTTTGATGACATTTTCCATGTAATTTTGCATATAAAATGAGATGGGTTGTCCGAACTGTATTCCGGAAACTTCGGCAGCATATTCTGCAGATAAAAATAAGTAAAAAAGTTCGTAGAAATGCATGTCCTAAAATGCATAGTTTCAGAGATACAGGGTGTAGAAGTTTCATTTTTATTTCGATTTTCCCAAATAATTTCTGAAGTAACGTTAATATTTGGATCAAAATTGGTGTCTAGGAGTTTTTTGATATGAGAAATTTGATTTTGATGTCAAAATGACCCCTACTAGTAGAGAGCGCCACCTACATGTGTTTTAACTGTTTTGAAGCGTAATACCTTTTTGTCCGTACCTGTATAAAACTACTGAGGAAAAAAATATATATCTCTGTGAGTTTTTACGTCAAAAATATCTCTGTAAAAATCGCTAGGAGCAACCGTTCTCAAGATATTTAGAATGGAAATAGTCAATACTAGGGCTGTAACGAGCCCTGTTTTTTAACTTGACCGAGTACCGAGTACTCGGCTAAAGGTAATGGCCGAGTACCTACTACTCGGCTGCCGAGTAGTGGAATTGTCGGGTTTATAATAGTCTTAACCAGTTATGCGACCTTTATCAATATATACTAATTATACTATACACCATAACATAATTATATTATATTTTATACATGATATAAATATAAATATATAATTTAACATTAAAGAAAGCTAGTTAAAATTCCCGGAATTCCCCGGCCTTAAACCAATGATCTTGTTTGTTTTGCCTATGATTGGCGAGCGGCTGGGATTTCCCGACTACAAACCAACGACCTGGTTTGTTTTACTTATGGAGATATTGTTTTATTCTGTGGTTCACCATGCAAACTGATATTTCTAATGTGCTGGATTCTGAATTGATTCTTTTAAGGTGCGGTGACGACGTTGATTTTGTTTTAAGCAAAACTTATATGTGTAACTAATTTAAAAGTAAAAAATAATTCAAACAATTAATAATACCCTTTAAAGTTATATTAAAATGAGCGACAGTGCTGACCTCTTTTAGATTATAAGTTTTAAATTATTATTTCACTGTGTTTGTGTTATTACTTATACTTATTATTATTACTTTGCTAAAATACATTAATGAAAGTTATAAATGAATAACATTTTGTTTATTTTATTTTTTGCCACTTGTAGTCTCATTTCTATCTGTTTTGGACATACATAAATGGATTGTTTCTATTACTATACTTTACTCCTACTTAGAGTAAGGCCGAGCACCGAGTACATATTACTCGGTTAAAATTCTGGCTGAGCACCGAACTACTCGGTACTGGGTGCAGCCCTAGTCAATACATGTCATTATTGACGAAAAATAAACACTTAATTAAGTAGATGGTTATTTCAATGAAATAATAAATTGGGGAAATCTTTATTTTTTTTAAATTAATCATAAATTTTTCTGCAAAAAAATGATGATGAAACAGTTTCTGTTGAACTTTTGGCACAAAAACATTTCATATTTATGATTTCAGTCTAATAACTAGTTAGTCAACATGTTCAATTTATGTCAATGATGACAGGTATGGATTATTTCGATTCCAAATATCTCGAAAACCACTATTCGTAGCGATTTTTACCAATATACCTTTTTTACGTAAAAAACGTCGTAAATGTATATTTTTTACTCAGTAGTTTTATACAGGTACGGACGAAAAGTTATTACTCTTCAAACCAGTTAAAGAATATGTAGGTGGCGCCTTCTACTAGTAGGACTCATATTGACATCAAAATCAAATTTCTCATGTCAAAAAACTCCCAGACACTAATTTTTATCCAAATATTGACGTTACTTCAAAAATTATTTTGAAAAAATTGAAATAAATATGCCAAACTTCTACACCCTGTATCTCCGAAACTAAGCATTTTAGGACATACATTTATACCAACTTTTTTACTTATTTTTATCTGCAGAATATGCTGCCGAAGTTTCCGGAATACAGTTCGGACCACCTTGTATATACTTCGTTGTTTAATACAAATTGATGTGATTGGGTTGAAAATTATATTTAAAAAAACGCAATAATACGTAAAAAAAGAAATTAACAAGTATTTTAAATTTTTCCAGATCGAGCAAGAAGTAGCCATCGTCCTCCAGGGATCCGCTTCTTGGATAGACGATGAAGGCAATCCGCACCAACTGACCTACATCGCGGACGAGAACGGCTACCAACCCCAGAGCGCCGACATCCCTGTCGCTCCAGAGGTTCCAGCGGCAATCGCCAGGTCTTTGGAATATAATTCCGCTCATCCAGAACAGGAAGCGGAGCAACCTCAGGTTCAAGCGGAGTTGCGAGCTCAACCTCAGCCCTTACAACCACAACCAGCTGAAGGTTAAATCGAATAAAGAATCGAATCATAATTTTTTATATTGGTTATATTTTTTATATTACTGTTGTATATAGAATATTTATTATGGTTAGAGGCGCAACTAAGGGTGGGGCAGGGGGGGCTTAGCCCCCCCAGATGGCCGGTGCGTGTCGTATAAAATTGGTTTTAACCTCACATGAATCTTATCTTATAGTGACCTAAGCCCCCCAAAAGACTTGAGCCCCCCTAAAAGTATATGTCTAGTTGCGCCCCTGATTATGGTCCAGTTTTTCGTATGAATATTATGGAATAAAAATAATATATCACCTAAATGTGTATTATTAGTGATGTAAAGGATAAAGGGTATTACCGGTAATTTTGATAATATTACGTAATATTACCGCAAGATCGGTAACACTGGAAATATTGATGTTTTTCCGCTCTAGGTATAGGCCAGTAAGCGAGGGTTTTAGGGTTCGAATTCTGAACACCCGCACCGATTGACGTGAAATTTTAACAGTGAATAGAAATATATATATATAAGAAACAAAAGTTACATAGTAGCGACGTGTGCTTTCACCCTGGGGGTGAGTGCTACCCCTTCTCGGGGTTGAGAAATAAATCAACCATTTTAATTGCAAAAATCAATAAAAGGATGAATTCTAAGCAAAAGATGTTCTATAACATTTTTTCAGAAAATTAATATTTTCCTAGTTATTTAGGATTGAAAATGTTGATTTTTTATCTAAAAACTGCATATTTTTCTGCCATTTTTTATAAATAACTCGAAAACCTTGCGTTTTATCGCAAAAAGCACTCGTATAAAGTAAAAATAAAGCTTTTGGAATAGCTAAACGATTAGTTTTTTGTTGGTTCCCGTGTGGGATAATAATAGCCGATGTAATAAAGGCCCAGGTGTAATAATAGCCGAGTTATCACTCTGTAAATGTGATTTTATATGTTTCGAAAACTAAATTGCAACATTTTACCTTAAAATAATGGCGAAAGAACACATTTTTCGTTGAAAATGAATATGACCGTTTAAAAAGTGCTTGAAACTATTTTAAATGAAGACCTTTTAAATGATTTTTTAAAAAAGTTCGTAGCTCAAAAACTCGCGGAGTTATGATAAAAATAAAATGGCCACCTCGTTTTTTCGGAAAAAAGTTAACAACAAAATCTATGATTAAAATTATAAAAATAAAAACTAAGCGTAATACATGTATAGTTGGCTATATTTAGGTACTAACAATGAGCTCTGCAAGTTCGAGCGGTTTAGAATGCCTAAATTTGGAAAAAAGTTGAAAATAATGAAAATTTTATTTTTATTTTTTAAAAATTTTTATTCATTTTTTTACATATCTCAAAAACTAAGCAAGATACGTAAAAAATGCAACAGAGTAAAATTCTTTCGTCTTTTTTTTGCAATATTTTTGCTCTCTTTCAATTTTCTGTAGATCTCTTTATTTCGTTGATATGACGTTTTTTTAGTTTAACTTGCGTGTAAGGACCACCTTCTTTGAGCCCTTAAAACCCAAAAATCTCGTAAAAATGAAGAGTTCAAAACTGTACAGACAACAATAGACAAACAAATATGGTTAATTTGTAGCTCGTGTAATTTCCTACAAATTGATAATTTTGATTTTTATGATTTTATTGTTAATTCATAACTCGGCAAGTTTTTGAGCTACAAACTTGAAAATACCTTTTAAAAAAGCATTTAGAAGATCTTTTCAATCACTTTAAAAACGGTCATATTTATTTTCTTCGAAAAATTTGTTCTTTTGCCATTATTTTACGGAAAAAGGTTGCAATTTAGTTTTCGAAAAATAAAAAATCACCTTTACAGAGTGATAACTCGGCTATTATTATATCTACGGTAATCACCAAAAAGGAGTCGATTCGTTATTCCAAAAGCTTCATTTTTGCATTATATGAGTTTTGCGATAAAACGCAAGCTTTTCGAGTTATTTATAAAATGGCGGAAAAATATGCAGTTTTTATGATGAAAAATCAACATTTTCAATCCTAAATAACCCGGAAAATATTAATTTTCTGAAAAAATGATATAGGACATTTTTTACTTAGAATTCATCCCTTTATTGGTTTTTGGAAAATAAAAACACTAAATCACCACAATACACCAAAACACTTTTACTTTTACACTGGACGCGCGTTTCACTAACCATGTTAGCATCATCAGCAGATGATTATAAACAGTTTATAATCATCTGCTGATGATGCTAACATGGTTAGCGAAACGCGCGTCCAGTGTAAAAGGAAAAGTGTTTTGGTGTATTGTGGTGATTTAGTGTTTTTATTTTCCAAAAACCAATAAAGGGATGGGCTGGACACATTGCTAGAATGGCAGACGGGAGATGGACCAAAAGACTTATAGAGTGGAGACCAAGAGACGACAAGAGGAGCCAAGGCAGACCTACCACCCGATAGACCGACGACCTGAAACGAATAACAATTAACTGGATTGCAACAGCTAAAAACCGCCGCAACCATCTTTGTAGCCGAAAGATTTTCGGACAAAGTTAATTCAATCCCCCCACTCATCATGGAAGAGGTTTTGCCGATACAAACGCCATCCTTTTTCATTACCATTACTCCCCAAGTCCATTACAGCCAATTTGGGAAGTTTTCCCAAGTTCAGCTTGAGTGCCCTGACGTCTACATCAGTTAAGAACGATTTGACATCGCCGCGAGCCGATGTACTTAAGATATAGAGTGTGTTTTAAGCACGTGTGTAGTAAGGGACATTTTGTACTGTCATTAGAACGGTTATTAAGCTTAGCCAGATTTTTTCAATTCTAACTTTGATTTTTCTGATCTAATTAGATAATCCCCTCAACAGTTTCAGTCTGAAGAGTCCATTTCGCTAGTGATATATAATTTATATGGTTTTGTAACAAATTCCTCGCTATTTTATGGCAAATGCTCAAGCTCTGCAAACCTTAATCAAGCCTTAATCAAAGCACGTGTGTTTGGAATTTTGGGTGTGGCTTAACACGACAGGATCTGGCTAAGCCTTAGGCAGATTTCTGGAATATAATATATATTCCATTCGACCACACACTCGCTTTACTCGACCTCTGAGAGCGACCTGAAAGTACAGCGCAATAGACTCTTAATAATCCAATTGTTATTGCGACAGTCCAAAATTGTAACGAAATTAGAATCAAATTTTTTTGTAAATTCACCAGTGGAAGCCAGAAAGCATAACGAGCCAAAACCATCTATCGAGCTGAAGTATTTTGCTAAATGTCAAAGTTTCACTTGATAAGGGTTGAAGATAATTGCCAAATTGTCGCTCGGCAATTATACATGTTTTATATTCGTCCGTGAAACGTGATAAACTGCTAACTCCATTATTCCTAATTTTACAGGAGAGCAAAAAAACGGTATAAAAAAATATGTACACATGTAGGAAGTATTTTCATGCGTTAATATGATAAAGAGATATTATTTTTTTAATTTTTATAAAAATTATGTATCATTTACGTGGAAAAACGTTGAAAAAAATAAAACTGATTAGGTATTATGGAAATTATTGTACAAGTAAGTAATGGTTATTTAAACTATTTATAGCACGCCGATGAATTGCTCGTATATAGAGAATTTCGTTTTTCCGCTTACCCTTTACGGATACCCCGTATTTACAGAACGGGTCGACACAGAGTCGAACTGCCCATATTTAAGATCCGCTCATCTTTACGCCTACGTATTATAACCGAAACTAACCCGGCGAAAATTTAATTGCAACGGAGTTCGTCTATGAAACTGCAAGGCATCATACAAAGTATTTTTCACAAGTAGATCTCATTATGGAAGCACTGATTGTGAAAAGTGTAATTTTTTACTCTTAATAAAACAATATACTATTTTAACTAAAAACTAAAAATACTTCCAAAAAATTTAAAAAGATTCTAAATTTTCCAATTTTTTTTTCGCCAAAAAAACCTCATGATCGGAGCCGCTAAAAATATTTGCACTTTTGCACATATTTAAGACTCACCCTGTTTATCTATTAGGGTGCAGGGTGCACCAAAAAAAACTTTTTTTTGTTTAGTTCAGGATGACTAAAAAATTAAAAAAGAAATCTAGCAAAGTTTGAGCTTTAAATATTAATATTAAGAGGTGCCTCATCGTGATTTTCTATTTCCCAATTAAATAACACGGAGAAACATTTTTTTCTTTGGAATTTTATTGCGTTCTAACAAATCAGCATTTGGTATAAATAAATACATATTCTTGTAGAAAATTGAACGGTCTTCAAAAAAAGTCTGATATAAATTTTCATTTAATCGACTCGTTTGAATGTTATTGAAGGTTAAAGTTGAACTTCAAATCGTATATGATAACTTCCCCAATTCTTTATATTTTATCACGAAATATTGGCTCATAAACATTAACTATCATATTTCATCACGAAATAATGGCTCAAACAGCTAAAATATCATATTTTATGTTTTTGAGCCATTTGATGAGAAAATATAAAAAATTGTTGAAGGTATCCCATACGATTTGAAGTTGAATTTTAACCTTCAATAACTTTTAAACGAGTCGATTAAATGAAAATTCATATCAGACCTTTTTTGAAGACCGTTCAATTTCACACAAGCGTATGTATTGGTTTTTATAAAACGCTGATTTGTTAGAACGCAATAAAATTCCATAGAAAAAAAATTACAAAACCAGCCAGTATATTCATAAAACATTTGAAAACTATTATTTAGTAAAAAATAATAGAATAATCTAAATTCTCTATTATTATATATGCATTTAGTCAATTATACGAAATCATTGATACCTATTTATATAATTATTGGCCTGAAAATACCGCCGTTAAAAATTACTGTATTTTGAGATGTAAACTGTTGCTAACATTAACACTTAATTCCTTAATTGGCTTTAGAATCACGTTTATTTCTATTTAATTGATATAGTTGTAAAAATTATAGACCATTACACGAATAAAAGATGAATTTTCTGTAAAGCACACGATTTAGATTTGCATTTTTAGGCTGTTGGTTTCTCACGATTAAGCAATGATAATTAAAACAATAAATATATTTTTTTTTATTATTACTGACTTTTAAATAAACATGCAGTAATACGTCAGCGTTTTACTTTAGCGGACTATAACCATTTTATTTTACCGTTTTACGTTTAACGGACTATAACCATTTTATTTTTTGATCTATAAAGAGACATTTATTATAAAATAAATTACAGCAATTTTTTGAGTATATAATATACCGTATGATAAAAAACGGCATCCACTTGGCTTGGAAATGACGATTGATGACGTTCCCCATATAATTTAACATATAAAATGACAGCGACCTTCATTTCATAGCCGTCGCGGACGCCGTTTTTTAGATCATACGATACAAAAATGTATATTACCATGTAGAATGTAGAATGAGCGAGAGGGGGGGAGGGTTAATCACTGCGACCTTAAAGATCTATTGTGTGCCCCCCTTCCTTGAGTTATCACACAATCTATAACCCATCATACCCCTGTTGTAGAGGGGACAGGGTATTTCCCATCCTCCTCTGACAACAGTTCTCCTTCCACGGTTGGAGTTTGGCCCTCCGTGCCGCTTTTCAGAGTCGAGGAGCTTGCCTCCGGCTGAGGAACCCGTGAGGTGGCGGCTGGAGGATCTGTCTCAATTTTCTCCACCTCTTTAACTTGGTCTCTCTTTAGACCTGATACCGGTGTTGTCCCGTATCTATATTAGAGGATATGTCCCTCTTTCTCTATTGCCTTTCATCAATTTCTATTGTGAGGACCTGACCATGACCCTCCTCCCTCGAGTTGACGACTCAGCAGAGATAAGGTTCAGCAGGTAGGCAGTGTCTTTCCCCTTGCTCCTCGGCAGAAGGACCGTTATGGCCGCCCCTTTAGGGATGTTTTCTCCCTTCACTGCAACCAGTTCCGGCCCTTGCCAATTTTTAAGCTTAGGTGCGATTTCCACCAACCAATTCACCGATTCTTGAGATTCTCAATCTATGAGGATCACCCGAAAGTGTATCCCCGCAAAACGTAACTGACCCACATTTTGTAGATCGTTGTGTTGCGATCCGATCGCCACTACTTCGTCCAGTATAGCCTCTTTTAGAGACGTTTGCTATGGTCGTGGTCAGAGCAACCTCTGGGAAATCCTTTGGCAGCTCCGTCATTTTCACTTGTCCATGAATAGCGGCAAAGCTGGTGATACGTCCCTGCTTGCCTCCCGGTGTTGGACGGCTTTCCATCCAGGCTTTTTTCTCTCCTTGCCGGAAAAGAGGTGAGAGGTTCTCGCTCCCTCTCTTGCCCTTTGATGGAGATGAGTCAGGTTTTTACTCTCCCCTTTTCGGAGGAGTGTTTTCGCTTTTGCTTCCTCTGGAGCAAGTTCTTCGTGGAGCAGTCGGAGGTATCTCCGTCCTTTTGCTCCGCTAAGACCTACTCTCAGAGGATAGACCGGGTAGACGAAACGGTAGCTTATGTCGCTTATTGGGTCTAGAGGTAGGCTCTCGACCCTTGCTGGAGAAGGTGGTAGCTTGTGTGCCACTTGTGGAGGATTATCCCAAGCAAGTATCAGCCGCCCCTCCTGTAGTTTCCTTTGGATTTTGTCCCTTGGAACTTTCATTTGTAATGTTCCCAGTGTCGCTAGGGGGCTTCCCCACAGCTTCACCGGTGGTGTTTTTAATACTAGATCTTATAGTGTTCTCATGAGTCGCTAGGGATAGTCGGTCCACTTCTAAAGAGCCCCGCATGCAGAAGTAAGGGGTGAATACAATGGGGTGCCCCTGATGCCCCAAGGTTGAGGCCAGTAACGCCTAGTCTTTGAACTGGTCCCGCCATCGTAGGATTTAGGTTTTTGGTGAGGTTGTCTCCTCTTGGTTAAGCCAAGACTCCGCCACACCCTATACCCCTGAGACATGACCACAGTCAGTAGAGGGTGCCTGGTATGACGGACAGGGCTCGTCCGGCATCGTTATATGTCTTGGTGCAATTCCCTGGCCACAACACTACAGCCAGGGACAAGACAATGAGTGAGATGCTTCCAAGCCAAGCGCTATGGGGGATTCCCCCCAGCAACTGAGCAGGAGCTTCCAACGACAAGATCTTGCATCTTCTAGGGGAAGTATATTACCATAAAGAGCACGGAGACAAATGTTCTCTTATTGATGATAAAAATATTTTTTTTTAAATGGAACACCTTATATAATAGAATAATTGTATTAGATATCAATTTTTTTTCAAATTTCAAAAATATATCACAGATTACAGTTGGGCGTTGAAAATAAAACACTAATTCACCACAATACTCCAAAACACTTTACGTTAACACTGGACGCGCGTTTCGCTAACCATGTTAGCATCATCAGCAGATGATTAAAACTAGTTTAAAGTTTTTTTTTTGGTGAGTGGGTGGTAAAACACTTTTTATAGGCGAATGGTGCTCGTTCCCATCACCATCTCGAGCGAGATGGTTATAAAGACGAACTCCAGATAGTGTAGGAATTAGCTGCCTGCTGATATTGGGAAATTAAACTAATATATACAAATTAAGCGTTTATATTGGTTTATATAGGTGGTCGGTTGGTAGTGACCAAGCGTGAAAAAATTAGCCAAGCGAGTCAAAATCAAACTAGCGGAACAGTTAATTATTGAGACTAGAGCACCAGAAACAGAGAACTGGAAGAAATTGTCTCTATTCGTTATTTCTGTTCATATTATTTTTACATTTATTTTTTTTGACGCTCTCATATGCATCTAGTTGCTTGTAAGGTGAGATTTGTTTGATTGATTTTAAATTATTAACAACTATACAATGATCTTTATCAAAATTGTGTTGAGCAACGCCAAGACATATCTTACCTGAGCAATATGTTCTTTAAATCTAGTTAAAATTGATCTTCTAAGGGTATTCCAATAAGAGGTTTCGGATATTGTAATATACTATATTGAATCAGCATTTTCTTCTTTAAAATCGTATGCAATAGTTGGGAAAACACTATTTGTAATAAAATAAAACAATAATTTTGAACAAACAAGTAATTTTTAATATAATATAAACTTTCAAAAAATGCAAGGCCGTAAGAATCTTGCATGCTTGGTCTTGATTTTAGTCCTGCGGGAGTTTTGCACTAATAGGTCTTGGTCTTGCAACTCAAACGCTAGTCTTGGTATTGCGTTTTGTGCAAGACCATCAAGACCAGTCTCACTCATCATTATTTATATTTCATCAAAAATTAAAAAAAAACTGTTTTTTTTTCAGGATTTTTGTTCCTCTAAATTTAATATTTTACTTATGTTGCCATATATTATGAAGATATGTCTTTTACCTGGAATTTTTTTCGAAATTTCTGTATTGGTTAAATTAATTAGTTATGTTATTCTTATTTTATTATTTTGCCAATTTTTTGAATACCGTACTTTCATTTTCATTGCCGAAGAGTCCAGAGAGCTGAAGGCCAATAAACAAAGTTAAAAGAAAATAGTACGTATTTTTAGAAAACTACTAGTTAAATTTTAAGGAAAAAATTAAGAAGTAATTTTAGATGTGTTTTATTTTTTTTATACATATAACTCTTTTTATTTTTTATAAATATTTACATTCACAGCTGTTTTTCAGGCTTTTCAGGGTGACTTCTAATCCATTCCAGAGCCCTAGCAATTTGTTCTGGAACTGCTGGCGGTACCGGAATATCGGGACTTTGAGGTTGATATCCATTTTCATCAGCAACATAGTTCAACTGATGACCATTTCCTTCTGAATCGGTCCAGCTTGCAGATCCTTGTACTACTACTCCAACCTCCTTTCCGATTTGCCTTGGTTCTCCAGATTGTTGCTGATTGATGCCATTTTCAGTTTCAAAACTGTAGTGATAAGAACCATCGGGATTTGTGTCTTGAGATTGAGATAAAATTCTGGCGTATGTTGGACGATTTTGTGATGATAAACTTGCTAAACCTTTGGAACTGATACTGTACGCTACAGTAACTAGACCCGCTAAAAGGACCACTTTAAAAATCATTTTTACTATTAGGTATTTCTACAAACTTTGCAGTAGAATGAATATCAAATTTTGAAAACTGTCTTATATAGCGATTTTTTTTGATTGGTTAACGCTAAAAGAAGATGCAGATGTACAGTTATATATGGTTTAATTTGAATATAGAATATCAAGGCATTTCGAAAGAAAGGTCACATTAGAAGCCGAATTCTTTAAAAGTCATGTCATCTATATTACATTTCTTATGTTTTAATTAATTTTATCTGTTGGCTAAAAATATAGTGGACAGGTAAAAAATATATAATCAATATTGCCGAGGAGATCGACCATGAATAACGGTCCGGATTTATATTTTATTTTGTACTAGCTGACCAGCAGTGCGATTCTGTAAACATATTTCCTGTCTAGCCACTTATCAATAATATACAAATAACATAGGCTAGGCAAGAAATTTATTGCTAGGGAGCTTACAGAATCCCACTGCAGGCTAACTTACTCTTAAGTACGCATGACTGATTGGCCGAATGATTTGCAATGATTGATACTAATCGATTTGACAGCTGTTGCCATTTGTTCTCTATATATTTAAAGTATTTTCCATATAGTTCAATATCTATCCAGATATGACTATGGTTTTTTCACACTTTTTCTGTTGAATTTCTATTCTAAAATGTTTAGGTTTGTGGGGAATTTGCAAATAATATATTAATTTTCTGTATATTTTTATTTCCATTATTTTTTCCGATATTTTAATAGAGACGAATCCAACAGAGTCGAGACATATAATATACGTCCATTATTTGATCCCTTAAAAACAATAATCGTTGTTCGGTATCGTTTACTATAAAGGTGCGTCCACACTGCTTGTGATCCTACTTGTGTTTCTCAAGTTCTTTTGGCTCACAAGCAACGGCGCGGCGCCGGCGCGGCATCCACATTGTAATGTAGTGCTTGCGTTCGTGCTGTTGGGGCATGGAACAACGAAGTATTTTTAATAGCGGCTGCTCCTGCGATCATTATTGCAAAACAAAGGAGACAAAGGGAAAAAAGGCATATATGTACATATATTACCATAAAGAGCACGCAGACAAGTGTTACTGTTATTGATAAAAATATACATTTTTTTTAAGTGGAACACCTTATATAGTAGAAGTAGAAGTATACTAGATATCAATTTTTTTCAGATTTCAAAAATATATCACAGATTAGGGGTTGGGATCTTTGATCCCAATCCCTAATCAACAGAAATCTTTTCAACTAAAGAAATGTGTGCTGCCAAAGAAGTCGTGGTGGCCATTTGGCAGATATTGTGTTCCACGTATAATATTGTACACATGTATACTGCCCAGGGCCCGTATTCTGTAACTTTGACATCAAAACGTTACGTTTTCAAAGCGGTGAGCGCAAGTATTCGATTAGCGGAACGCAAGGCAGTCGATTTTGGTATTCTCGTTGCCATGCGAATCGTGTTCTGGATACGCGTTGAGCACATATTGGCAACATCACAATTTCTAATGTAGGTAATAGTCAAAAGTTGATAACTGACGGATGTAATAAAGAAAAATGTATTTCATAACCTATTGTTGAGTTGCGTCAAGCTATTTTTCTATGGATATGTCATTATTCTTATTATACGAGGGAAGTGTTGAAGACGCTTTCTCAGCATTTTCGATGTTTTGAACAATATTTATAGCTGCCAAGTCGTAAATTATCAATTACTTATTGAGGAATTTATAGAAGTAGTAATTTTCACTAAAGAGCAAGATAACGCACAAAATCACAATTTTTTCGATTTTCACTGACAGTTTGACTAGCAAAACGATCCTTTAAGGCAACCGTTTTCAAAGCGCTCAGCGCAATCAGTAAAGACGCTAAGCGCGTCAGACGAGAATACCGAAATCGTTAATTAAGTGCGCGCTCAGCGAAAATTAACGTCATATAAGCTAAGCGTCTAAAAGCGCTTAGCGTTTTCAAAGTTACAGAATACGGGCCCAGCTACGCACTGCCATAAATAACTTTTAGGTATGTTATGTATATTTTATTTTAGTATATTTTATTTTATTTGTTATCAACATCCGAAACCTCTTATTGGAATACCCTTTAGTTTGCCCAACATATTTTTTATTACAATCTTTATATGACATTTCATAAATGCCCGACCTTTTCAGTGGAGGTGTTTTATCTTTAGGATTACCTAATAGTTATTGTAATTTATTGTCAGAGCTATATACAAATTTATAATTGACAGCCTTAAACCTTCTTTTGAAACAACGGGATACCTCTCTAGAAACGGTACCGTCGTATTGGTCTCTATTAAACGGTTTTCTCCACTTGAAAAGAATTTGCAAAAATTGCAAAGTTATACCTACGTTTTCTAATTATTTAATCAACAAATGAAGGAGACCAAGGAGACTATCCATTACACTTAGCCAGATTCTTAATATAATTTCTTTCTATTTCATATCTTTCAATTGTAACTGGAAAACTAAGTAGTCTATGAATTAAGAAATTTAATTTAGCCATCTGATGTTCAACACTATGACAAGACTCATTAGGAATATATCTGTGTGTAGTGGTCTTTTTTCTATACCGGGTGCGTCTCAAAAGTGGCTCACCCCCTATAACTGTTTTATTTTTTCAGGTAAAAAAACGATTTGGTATGTTAGTATATGACATAAATTAGGATTGATTGACGTATTCAATTGTTTTGGGTCACTTCCTGTTTCACCGGAAATGACTACATCTTTTGATTTTTAAATGGCACCCTCGGTATTTTTTTACTTCATTCGATAGAAAATGACATTCTGAATAGAATGACATATCATATGTTAACTTTTGACATTCTCGCTTTGTAAAAAATCGTATTTTAAATTTCAATCTAGAGTGCCATGACTATGTTAAAAACACTAATTTTTAATCAAGGAACCTTGGAAAAATAGATTTGATCGTCTATGTTTTTAGTGTCTTGTCCTGGCCAGTTGGAAAATGCTCAAATCGTATTTTCAATCATATTTCAATTTTTTCAAATGGAATGAGGGTGGTTCATTAGCATATTTGGAAAAAGCATTTCTTTACGAATAATTTGGTTTGGTATTTCGAGTCAAATTTTTGTTACGAACCGCAAGTTATAATTTGAAATAAACCATATGCGATAATGTAATAACGATATGCCATATGCGATATTGTAAATAATAAGATTAGGGTATCTTTTAACCGGCCAGGACAAGACACTCAAAACATTAGACGATCAGATCTATTTTTCCAAGGCTCCTTGATTAAAAATTAGTGTATTTAACACAGCCATGGCACTCTAGATTAAAATTTAAAATATAATTTGTTTTTGAGTGACTATGTCAAAAATTGACATATGATATGTCATTCTATTCAGAGTGTTATTTTCTATCGAAAAAAGTAATAAAATACCGAGAGTGCCATTTAAATATTTAATATTTAATTTTTCTCTTCTCTGTTGGAAGATACGAAGTTAGCCTGGTCAGCTAGTACAAAATAAAATATAAATCAAATGTTATAAACTGTGGCAATGAAAAATGCCATCAGCTGCCGGACCGTTACTCATGGTCGATCTCCTCGGCATTATTGATTATAATTGTTTTCACCTGTCCACTATACTATTTTTTGCACACTTGATTAAATTAATTAAAACATAAGAAATGTTACTTAGATAACATGACTTTTAAAGAATTCGGCTTCTAATGTGGCCTTTCTTTCGAAATGCCTTGATATTTTATATTTAAATTTAACCTTATACAATTATGCATCTGCATCTTCTTTTAGCGTTAACCAATAGAAAAAAAATCACTATATAAGAACATTTTCAAAATTTGATATTCATTCTACTGCAAAGATCGAAGAAATACCTAATAGTAAAAATGATTTTTAAAGCGGTCCTTTTAGTGGGTTTAGTTACCGTAGCGTACAGTATCAATTCCAAAGGTTTAGCAAGTTTATCATCACAAAACCGTCCAACATACGCTAGAATTTTGTCTCAAGCTCAAGACACAAATCCCGATGGTTCATATCACTACAGTTTCGAGACTGAAAATGGCATCAATCAGCAACAATCTGGAGAACCAAGGCAAATTGGAAAGGAAATTGGAATAGTAGCGCAAGGATCTGCAAGCTGGACCGATTCAGAAGGAAATGGACATCAGTTGAACTATGTTGCTGATGAAAATGGATATCAACCTCAAAGTCCCGATATTCCGGTACCGCCAGCTGTTCCAGAACTAATTGGTAGGGCTCTGGAATGGATTAGAAGCCACCCTGAAAAGCCTAAAAAACAGCTATGAATGTAAATATTTATAAAAATTATATTGTAAAAAAGAGTTATGTATAAAAAGAAATAAAACACATCTAAAATTACTTCTTAATTTTTTCATTAAAATTTAACTGCTTTTAGTAAAAATCTATTAAAAAATGCAAGACTTGCAAGAGTCTTGCAGCAAGAGCAACACCAAGACCAAGATTGGACTCTGCAAGACCAAGACCAAAACTACTTATTAACTGTAAGATCAAGACCAAGGGAGCCTTGGTCTTGGTATTGCATTTGCTTATCACTAAAAATAACTCAGCTATTTTCCACTTATTTGAAAAACGGTAAAGAGAAGATATTATGTTTCTATCAAGCTAAAAATAGAAACAAACCTTGGAATAGACTTATTTTTCTTTGCTTTTTACAAAACATTATATTACCTAATTAGAATTTAATTAATATTGATTAGTTTTATAAAATGGAATTAAGAAATATGGGATTAAGTTCCTTCATATCACAAAAACGAAAATAAACAAATACCGTATGATCGAGAAAAAACGGCGCGGCGCAGCGTCAGCGATGGCTATGGAATGAAGATCGCTGTCATTGTTTATGTCATTGTACACCTATGTAAATTTATATGGGAAATGTCATCGATGTTCATTTCCCAGCCAACTGGACGCCGTTTTTTTTCGATCATACGGTATTTTATGTATTTTATACATAAGGGGTGTTCTAATGTTCAGAAAGGATCTATATCAGGTGTCCTATTTTGATACTTACTTCAATATTTGACAAGATGTAGATAGTTTTATTGAGAATAAAAATATATTGTTTTTTTATTCGGAGTAAAAATTACACTTTTTGGCGAGGCTGTACTAAAAAAGGCTGTACGTTTGACAGGCGACCGACATTACAGGCGGGGCACAAAAAGTCATTTTTACTCCGAATAGAACATGCTATTTTTTTAACACCACAAAACTTTTTTTTAAACAACTTCAAACCTTCCAAAAAATATTTAAAATTAATACCGTGTAAGTAATTATATATCAACAAACTATGGTTACGCTCGATGAATTTGACACTTTATGTCAGTTTAATAATATATTTTCGTATTTCTGTGCTTATGCGTGCTTCACTTTTATGCCTGGGCGTTAAAATAATTATTTTATATTGTCAATAACGTCGCCAAAATTAATACTTTTGTGACGTTTAAAAAAAAATTCGAGATATGTGTTGAATATTCTTTGACACAGTGTACGTTAATCACAGCGTAAGCGAAAATCTCGATAATATGAAGAATTTTTGGATTATTGTGCCACTCTGTAAACTTCTTTGTTATAGACCGAAAACAGATTTATTATTGCCAAAAAAATAATACATATTCAAATATATACAAGATGTTACCAAACAGATGTAGCTTTGATTTTGATTTTGAGATATTTCGTGTTTTTTTTATCTGATTAACTCGCGCAATAGTTATTCAATACAAATAATTGGGTCACTAGGATTTTCCTCTTAATTTAAACAATTCTGTTGAAACTATTTTACGGGGGAGTGATATACACGACTAGAACTATATAAAACGGAATCTTAAAATACTGTTTTATATCATTCTTCGTTTGGGTGGCATTAACAATAACCAAAATGTTTAAACTCTTCGTAATTTTGACTGTAACTGTTGTGGCGATATATAGTGGACCTGTTCCTATAGTTTCTGAAGAAAATGAAATTAATCCTGATGGTTCTTATCGATGGAGCTACCAAAGTGGTGATGGTAGTGCCCAACAGCAAACCGCCAAAGTTAACCAAGTTCCTGGAGGTGAACCAACGTTGGGAGTGGATGGTTCTGCTTCTTGGTATGACCCACAAGGTAACTTGCACCAGATAGCTTATACAGCTAACGAGGATGGATACTATCCTTATAGTGCTGACATTCCACAAATTCCAGCTGCGATTCTCAAGGCTTTGGAATGGAACGCTGCTCATCCAGAAGAAGAATCTAGTTAGATTGTTAATAGAAGTAATTTTAAAAAAAATATAGGTATAGAATTAATCCTATGGTATTGTGATCTAGATATTGTTTTATTTAGTATGTAAATTTAAATAAATATATTTTTGTTACAAATGGTTTGTTTGATTATAAAACAACCTGATTTGATCAGTACAGTAAGACAAAGAAATATTTTTGTTTTATTTATAATACATAAATTCATTTTAACATCAATACCTACGTGATGGTAGAGGTCTGGGATATGAAGGTTTGCTGTCGTAATAGTAGATCTACATACAGGGTGAGTCTTAAATAAGTTCAAATATTTTTATAGGGGTAGTATTTTTTGAGTGAATTTTTTTTTGAAAATTTGGAATTTTTTGATTTTTTTTTTCAATTTTTTTTTTAATTTTTAGTTAAAAACATAATTTCTTGATAATATGACAACATAGGTAGTAGATTCATTTTTTTTTCGGTAACTGACTATCCAGTAAACACGAAGTTGTTCGAATGAATTTGGATTGTTTTGGTTTCAACTTTTTTTAGTAATTCTCTTTTTTTAATTTTGACCTGTTTTGAATCTCTTGATTTTCAAATTAAATGTCACACGTTATATAGATTTCCAAACAGTTGCTGGATTTATTGGTTCTGATTAGGGTTTCCGGAATCGGAGCTCTTTTTCGGAACCGGGAATTCCGGTACCGCGCCTCTTAGGAACCGGGATTTCCCGTTTTTTTCGGTACTTTCGGTACTGACGAATTTTTCTTCAATGGTAGTGCAGTTCATCAATCAGAAAGACAAGTATGGTTTTTTAAAGTAAAATGGATAATGAATTAAGATTTTTAATGAAAATAATATCTAAATTAATAAGTAATCAGTCATGAAAAATTAACATGAACACAAGTAAAGAAAAAAGTATAGGTAACTTAAATTTCACATCAAGCAACATAAACTTACTGAATTTAAGACAAAAACCCTAAAATATTGAATTAAAAATGCAAATATCTATTAAAACATAACATAATAAATATTAAAGAAACTTCAGAAGAGAAAAGAAGCAAGAACAATAAGAAATAGTATCATTTTCCAAACAGTTGCTGGATTGATTGGTTCTGATTAGGGTTTTCGGAATCGGAGCTCTTTTTCGGAACCGGGAACTTCGGTACCGCGCCTCTTAGGAACCGGGATTTCCCGTTTTTTTCGGTACTTTCGGTACTGACTAATTTTTCTTCAATGGTAGTGCAGTTCATCAATCAGAAAGACAAGTATGGTTTTTTAAAGTAAAATGGATAAAGAATTAAGATTTTTAATGAAAATAATATCTAAATTAATAAGTAATCAGTCATGAAAAATTAACATGAACACAAGTAAAGAAAAAAGTATAGGTAACTTAAATTTCACATCAAGCAACATAAACATACTGAATTTAAGACAAAAGCCCTAAAATATTGAATTAAAAATGCAAATATCTATTAAAACATAACATAATAAATATTAAAGAAACTTCAAAAGAGAAAAGAAGCAAGAACAATAAGAAATAGCATCATTACTTATTTAGAAGAGTTTGATTTCGACCGCTAGAAAGTATCAAAGGACTTTCTCATGTAACAAAAGAATAATTATTTATTTATTGTTATTGTTACTGAGGCACTGTAAAAACATAACACAAAAAATATATCTAATACAACCACCAATATTATACTAAATAATAAAATAACATATTTAAACTTCAGTAATTGCTAATAAACATTATAGAAACTTCAAAATAACTTCAGAAGTAAGAACAGTAAGAGATAGCACCACCACTTATTAAGAAGAGTTTGATTTCGACCGCTAGAAAGTATCAAAGGACTTTCTCATGTAACAAAAGAATAATTATTTATTTATTGTTATTGTTACTGAGGCACTGTAAAAACATAACACAAAAAATATATCTAATACAACCAGCAATATTATACTAAATAATAAAATAACATATTTAAACTTCAGTAATTGCTAATAAACATTATAGAAACTTCAAAATAACTTCAGAAGTAAGAACAGTAAGAGATAGCACCACCACTTATTAAGAAGAGTTTGATTTCGACCGCTAGAAAGTATCAAAAGTCTTTTGCACGTAACAAAAAAATTGTTTTTAATTATTATTACCGAGTCCTGAAAGTACCGAAAGAACCGGGAATTAATAATTTCGAGTCCTGGTTCTTTGATGTCCCAAAAGAACCAGGAATTCCCGGTACTTTCGGTACCGAGATTTCCGGGTTCTGAACCCTAGCTCTGATAGTATAAGGTGTAAGATTTTTATAATTGCGATTGTTATTATTTTGATAGGAATCGATCTCAAATCCAAGGAGGCAATAGAGAAAGAGGGATATATCCTCTGTTATAGATTCGGGACAGTACTGGTATCAGGTCCAAGGAGAGAGGTTAAAGAGGTGGAGAAAATGGAGACAGATCCCCCAGCCACCACCTCACGGGTACCGTATAAGAAGGGGATCACCAATCTATCTTCTATCTATCTAGAATCTATCTAATTAATTAGCTATCTACTTTAATAGTGACCGTAGCAATATTAAACATATTTATTTCTATAATAATTATAATCTACACAATAAATATACATTATAAATTGTTTATGTCCTTTCCTACAAACAGTAAATAATATACTTTTCGGTATATTTAGTATTTATACAAAAACAAAATCTTACAATAACATTCTTATTATTAAAGTGGTGACTTCAAGTATACAGAGTGTTTCTGAATAAGTGTGAGATATTTTACAGGGTGATCTTAAGGTATTTTTTAGATAAAAGTTCATATAAACATGTGTTCAAAAATGTTTCGTTTTTAGACACAGGTTGTCAAAAAGTTAACGTTAGAAGAATCATTTAAGTATTTAACACATACTCTGAAATAAAGTTCATTCTAACTAGATTCTTCTTCTGGATGAGCAGCATTCCATTCCAGTGCCTTAAGAATAGCTGGCGGAATTGCAGGAATGTCAGCACTTTGCGGGTAATATCCATCTCCATTTGCAACATAAGTCAGTTCATGCAATTTTCCTTCTGGATCGTACCACGAAAATGAACCTTGCACTTCCAATACTGGATCACGGCCTACTGCTACTTGATGTAATTTACCAGATTGTTGTTGAGCTGTACCATCTCCACTTCGATAACTCCATCTGTAAGAACCGTCAGGATTTATTTCAGATTCTTGTGATAAAATTGGTACTGGTTCTTGATAGGGCGCACCGTGTACAAAAAACACCAAACAACAAATTATTATTACACATCTAAACATTTTTTCTCTTTTTTTGGGTTCTACAGCAAGACTAAAGAATGATTAATATAAATCGGCATAAACAATATTCTTTTATATAGAAAAATTCTACACCCACTTAAAAAGCAAAAACTTAAAAAAATCGTGTTGACCCGAATGAATAATCATTGCGTGAGACCATAATCAGATAGTGCTTGTAGGAAATCGTTGGAACAATCATCAAAATCAAGAGATTTTTTTTGTTTGGTAACTTCTTGTGTTTGCGAGAAATTTGAATAATTATACTATGTAAAGATGGTGACAAGTGGAAAAATATTTTTTTTAATTTAGTTTTTGCCGTCTATAAATAAAATACCAATTCAAATTCGAGTACTACCACAGGGTATTTGTCAAAAAATATCGTTGATAATAAGAAAGAAAAAAAATGGCGCCGGGAGGCACGTATAGCCGCCCATACTAAAATATGTTAATAAAAAGTTGGTAGGCAGTTCTTTTAGTTTCAAAGTAAAGGAATTTTTCCATTTTTTTTATCTCAAAAACTGCGACTTTGACTGATTTTGATGTTATTACAAATTTTGTTGCAAATATTATTTCTAATCTTAAATTGAAAACCGCGTTTCGCTAGCTACTGTAATTTTCGAGTTACGATTTTTTACAATTTGTAACCCCCTCCCATACCCCCTTACCAACCGCCCACCCCCACCAAAAACTAATGGCCAGATTCTCGGGTGCCACAGTATTTTTGTGCCAAATTTGGTTAAAATCGGTTTAGCGGTTTTTGAGTTATCGTGTTACAGACGGACAGACGGACAGACAGACAGACAGACACCATGAAAATATTTTGTATTTAGGTCATTTATGACCCAAATAACTAATTTTGAGTGAGATTAAAAAAACTTTTTTTTTGCCGATCTTAATAGCCTGCCATACCTGTTGGTATGGTCGGCTAAAAATAGAGACGGAATAGTATAAACCTAATGTAAATGTTTTCATAGAAAATCATAATTTGTAGGACAGAAACTAAAATTGGTATTTTTATAATAATAATAAAATTGTATGATTAAAAACAAAGTCGGATTTAATTCACAAATTGATTGCTGAGGGTTTCCACAAAGAAAATATCTCCTACTCTGGTTGCCAGCCCACCAAGAGATAGAAGGCAATGAAAAAGCAAACGATCTAGCTAGAAAAGGAATAAACATTCCACTAACTGGACCAGAACCGTTCTGCTTCCCAAGTGAAAACCTACTTAAAGTGGAACTCAAAATCTGGTAGACTACATCCGTAATAGGGTTCAGAACCGGAAAATCCCGGTACCGAAGGTTCTTCTGAGACATAATAGAACCGGGACTCTAAATTATTAATTCCAGGTTCTTTCGGTGTTTTCGGAACTCGGTAATAATAATTAAAAACTTTTTTTGTTACGTGCGAAAGATTTTTGATACTTTCTAGGGGTCGAAATCAAACTCTTCTAAATAAGTATTGATGCTATCTTTTACTGTTTTTACTTCTGAAGTTATTTTGAAGTTTCTATAATGTTTATTAGCACTTATTGAAGTTTAAATATGTTATTTTATTATTTAGTATAATATTGCTGAATATATTAGTTATATTTTCTTATCTGTGTGTTCTAGTAGTGTCCCGTCCCATGTAACATTAAGTCTGCGGGTCGCCTGTCTCGAATTAAGGTGGAATGCACTCACTTTAGTTTTGGTGGGGTTGGGTTTTAAAGAATTCTTTTTGTAATAGGTTGACATTGTTTTTAGGGCGCTTTCTAATTTCTCCTCGATATCTTCGAACCCTTTGCCTTCAACTGTTATTGCTAGGTCATCTGCATATGCAAAGGTTCTAGTGTTATCTGGAATGGTTGGTCATTTGTATATATGTTGAAAAGAATTGGTACCAGCACGCTCCCTTGTGCCAACCCATTCTTCTGGTTTCGCCATCGACTCTTTTTGCCCTCGAGCGTCACGAAAAACTGCGTTTTAGAGCAAGGATTCGAGTATCTTGACTAGGTGGTAATCTTTCAAGGTCTCATTGGCTTTATGCAGTAATATCTTGTGGTTTACCGTGTCATAGGCGGAACTTAGGCCGACTAGGGCCAGCCCTGTGATGTGTTTATTCTCAAAACCCTCCTCGATATGTTCTGTCAATGCGAGGATTTGACTGGTGCTTTCCAGGTCTGAATCCTGCCTGTTGTGGAATCAGCTTTGAATCGACGGTCTTCTCTATTCTGTAGAGGATTAGTCTTTCGTAGAGCTTAAACAGATGGCAAAGGAGGGATATGGGTCGGTAGCTTTTCGGAGACTCTGGATTTTTCCGGGTTTAAGGAGAGCTTTTGACTTCCGCCACAGTTTTGGAATTTGAAAGGTTTCGCGACATACGTTGAAAAGTTTAAGTATCCATTCTTTGGTTCCAGGACCGAAATTTTTGATCTGTTCCACGCATATATCGTCAATCCCAGCGGCTTTTCCATTCTTCATGGTATTTATACCATTGTTCAACTCTTTCATGGTAAATGATTTCTGAAAGTTGGTGTTTTCAGTTGGTATTAGGCGTTTGATTTTGGTTTTCTGGCGTTTGGAGTTGAATTTGCCATTTAGAAGGAGTTGGTTGGCCGCTTGATTGTGTGTTACATTGGCAGGGGCCTTGCTTAGTTTTGGGTCACCATCCAATTTCTTGACTAGATTCCAAGCTATTTTACTACTATGAGACATGTCCATTCTATCCAGGGTTTCTTCTCACGTGCCTCGCTGAGAGTTGTCATTAAAGCTGTTCCGCAGGTGATGGTTTGATCGCTGAATGGATCTTCTTAAGGTAGACTTAAATCCAGACGCCGTTTCCTAAGCCACCCCCTGGATGAACCTCCCTTCCACTACCCCCTTAGAGAGGACCCACCAAATGGTGTTTCTAGCGACTGGAAAACCTGGAGAATGCTCAACCGAATCAGAACTGGGGTGGCCCCAGTAAAATCCAATTTGATCAAATGGGGTTTGCTGGACAGAAATGACGACAAATGCGACTGCGGCGCCTTTCAGGACATGGAACATCTTCTTCAACGTCCTGTGTGCCCCACAGATGTACCCTCGATGACCTATGGCTTGCTAAACGGGAAGCATTGGACGTAGCCCATTACTGGGTTAATAAACTATAATATAATCCGGATACGAAAAAGTAAAAAGTAAGTTTATCGGTTTTGCTAATTGACGAACTCCACAATCGTTGATACGAAAATATTTTAGTACGGTTCTGGAAACTTTAATTAATATAACCAATTAGGGTTCAGATCTTTTTGGTCATCACAGAACCGGGCCTCGGTAACAATAATTAAAAAATTATTTTTTTGTTACGTGAGAAAGTCCTTTAGTACGTTTTAAGTTTTTTAAGTCCATACTTTTTAGCGGTCGAAATCAAACTCTTCTAAATAAGTACTGATGCTATTTCTTATTGTTCTCGCTTCTTTTCTCTTTTGAAATTCCTATGATATTTATTATATAGGTCTCGTCTCCATAAATAAGTACAATGTAGTTCCCTTTTCTCCGTGCGGCGACCACACATTTTAAAGCCTAAACAAACAAATTTCAACATGCCCCTCGCTTCCCTGCTCCCTTACCTCATTATATGCCCTTGCATCATTTCTTATTTAGTCTTTTTTTGTGTGCGGTACGACCCACATCGAATATCGCGTAAAAGATATCGATCGGCTCTCGCTCCGTAGAGCGGAGTGTTTTAGATTATCTTAAACGGATGGATAAGCGATTAAAGTTATTAGAAAATAAAAACATGCGTAAAAGAAAAAGATTAGTGACAAGTTTGGAAGAGGAAAGTGTAACAAGTTTTGAGAGGCAGGCGAATAGTAGTGATTATTCGCAAGATTCTGAGGACGAGATTAGAAGCAGTGTTTGAGATGTTAGAAATAAAGGTAAATAAACATATAACATATACATATACAATACCTGAATAGTAGGGGGAAATTTCTTCTAAGCTTGGGTATATAGGTATTGTGGGTGAATACCTTAGTGAATGCTTATATTATCTAGATTTTTCCACTTATGCTTATATTACACTAATATGGCAGAGTACGTTGGTGGTTACTCTAGCTTGGTTTATAGGACATTAAATTTATTCACGTTAATTGTAGCGGAGTAAGTGGTGGTTACTCTAGCTTGGTGTGTAGGTATTGTTGGTGAATACCTCAGTGAATGCTTATATTACCTAGTTTTTTCCCACTTATTACATTAATACAGCAGCAGAGTACGTTGGTGGTTACTCTAGCTTGGCATATATGTATTATTGATGAATACTTATCGCATGGCTGTCTTATTATACTAATACAGCAGAGTACGTTGGTGGTTACTCTAGCTTGGTTTATAGGACATTAAATTTATTCACGTTAATTGTAGCGGAGTACAGTGGTGGTTACTCTAGCTTGGTGGGTATGTATTGTTGGTGAATACCTCAGTGAATGCTTATATTATCTAGTTTTTCCCACTTTTTACAGTAATACAGCAGAGTACGTTGGTGGTTACTCTAGCTTGGTATATATGTATTATTGGTGAATATTTATCGCATGGCTGTCTTACTACAATAATATGGCAGAGTACGTTGGTGGTTACTCTAGCTTGGTTTATAGGACATTAAATTTATTCAAGTTAATTGTAGCGGAGTACAGTGGTGGTTACTCTAGCTTGGTGTGTAGGTATTGTTGGCGAATACCTCAGTGAATGCTTATATTACCTAGTTTTTCCCACTTATTACATTAATACAGCAGAGTACGTTGGTGGTTACTCTAGCTTGGTATATATGTATTATTGGTGAATACTTATCGCATGGCTGTCTTGCTTTTATTTTCAAAGTTGGTAGTCCCATAAGGGCACGTTGGTGGTTGTCCTTATGGAGTGACGTTTTGCTAAGCTAGCTGTATAAGATTTATAAACTCCTTAAGCATGAGTTAGCCCCAATATGTGTTTACATATCATGATATTTTCTTATAGGTGAAAGCGCTAGTACACTTATTGAAAAAGGTATTGGAAAGAGCCTACCTAAACCTTTCTAGGAAGGTTTATTAGCGGTTTTAGGAGATAAGGTAGACGGGAAAAATACCACGACACCACCGATTGAACCGGAAATTGCAGAAAGATACATACACATCGCAAAAACCGGCCTTGAAGAACCCGTTCTTAACCTATTAATGGAAAAGTACCCCTCTCCAGAGAATGCCACCTCTTTAGGACCACCACAGTTAAATTTAATGGGGAAACAGGCCATACATGATAATGTGGAGTGCAGAGATGAAATTGGCTAAAATTCAATCAAGATTAGCAGCCAGTTTGTCGGCTATAGGCCAAGTAATGGCAAAAATTTTAGAGGAAAAGGGAGAGGGGGGAGAAAGGAATATAAAGCATTATATAGAGACCCTAAACGACACAGAACGTTTTATAACTGGTGTTATCCATTCCGAGTCAATATCGAGGAGGGAACTAGTGTCTTTCGATTTAAATAAAAATTGGAAAACCACTCTAACGGAATCCCCTTTGGATACCTGGTTATTTGGTGAGGATTTGGAAGGAAGATTAAAGGCAGGCAAAGAGTTGTCCGCCTTTAACTGTCATCCAGTCAGTTAAAGACTGTCAGAAGTACTCCAGGAAGAATCGTATCAAATGCAGCCAGATCTCGGTCCACGCCGCATTTAAACTTCAAAAGTCTGCCTCAACATCAGCAGGGAGGGAAACGGGACAGACTCATGTTCGAGAAACTTCCTACAACCGCCCACGTCAAAGGCGGACCTGGAACCGAATACAACACTTCGGCGTAAGGTCGCGTTCTCAGGGAAGATGTATAGGGATAATAGATGTATTATGGCATGGTTGCAAGGTTTTAAAATTCCGTTTGTGACGAGACCATCACATAACATAATCTCAGGTAGACATAAATGGTCGGTGCAACAACATAAGACAATTGAGGGCAACGTTCGGAGATTGCTTAGTATAGGGGCTATTTCTAAGGCACAGCCATGTAAAAATCAGTTTATTACAGAGATATTCACGTTTCAGTTGTTTATTTAGATGATTTTTAATTACTAGGAGATTCTTATGATGCATGTTTAGCAAATGTATTAGAAACAATTGGACTACTCGAATATGGGGTTTATTGTAAACTATAAAAAGAGTATTATCTCCACAAAAAATTGTGACGTTTTTGGGGTTTAAATTAAACTCTATGGATATGACTATTTCTGTTCAAGAGGAAAAAATCACAAAAATAATTTTGCATTTAAAAAAGTTTTTAAGATGGAAGAAATGCACTACAAGGGAGTTTGTAAGGCTAACAGGGAAGTTGATATCCATATGTCCAGCCATAAGTACGGTTATTTATATACCAAATTGTTTCGAGAGAGAAAAAAATTTAGCGTTAAAGAGTAATAAAGGAAATTATAACGGAACTATGAAAATTTCTAAGAAGTTATGTGTTGATACCGATTGGTGGATTCGAAACATACCTATTAGCAAAAACTTATTATCATATAGTAAATACTCTATGGAAATATTCTCTGACGCATCAGATATTGGATGGGGTGTTTGTTGCAATAACATAAGTTCTCAAGGTCTCTGGCCTACCTACGAATGAGAAGAACACATAAATTTTAGGGAGTTACAAGCTGTTTATTTTGGCTTGAAAGGCTTTGCTAATGACTTATCTAACGTTTCTAGCTTGTGCAAGGTAGACAGTGTTGTCTACCCTATATGCCAGTGCAGTAGTGTTACTGCACTGGCATATACCTATATTACATAGAACATAATGTGTTCAATTTCCAAGTTAAACAATATCCCTCGAATAATTTGGCAATGGTGTGAGGAAAGGAGATTATTTATCGTAGCCTCTTATATTAGATCTCAAGAGAATAAGGAAGCTGACAGGGCTTCCAGGGAATTTAAGGTCGAGACAGAATGGAGTTTAGCGAGCTGGGCATTTGGGAAATTGGTCACTATAAGTGGGGTTTACCGGAAATAGATTTGTTTGCTACGCATATAAATGCTAAATGCAAGAAATACATATCGTGGCACAGGGACCCAGATATGTACGCCATTGATGCCTTTACAACAAACTGGGAAACATTTTATTTTTTGCTTTCCCTCCATTTTCAATGGTCCCAAAGGCTCTGCAAAAAGAAAAAAAATTATTTCTGATCAGGCAGAAGGTATAATGGTTGTACCCAACTGGGTTTCGCAACCTTGGTATTCGGTTTTAAGGGCGATGTTAATAGATGAGCCGATTATTTTTTTAAATTAATAAATATTTACTTCTTTTAGCGGATCTCCCCACCCGTTAGCCAACATCTTTCTCTGACGGGAGGTCCGGCTATCAGGCAAGCCTTGCTCTTAGGGAATGTTCCAGAAGAAGCGCTGGAAATTTGCATGTCTTCAATAACAAGTAACACCTTAAAACAGTCTAACTCAGGGCTTAAATAATGGTGGGAATTTTGTAGCGTTAAGAACTTAGATCCCTTCTCGGTTTCGGGTTCCAACGTTCTAATATTTTGACTCAACTCTTTAACGAAGGCGCATCTTTTAGCTCATTAAGTTCTTATAGAGCAGCCATAGCACAGATAGCGGGCCCAGACCTCTTACAAGATTTTCGTATGCAAAGGTTTTTTAAGGGAATATATATGTTGAGACCTAATAAGCCCAAGTCCGAAAATACCTGGGATCCTACGTACGTAGTACTTAATTATTTAAAAATAAAAAATAATTATGAGTTAACCTTGGAGGGGCTTACGCATAAATTAGTGACATTACTGGCCTTAGCATCGGGTCAACGTTTACAAACACTATCGCTTATTGATATAAGGGAAATTTTTCGGAAGTTAGGGGAAATACATATAAAAATTAGCGCAAGATTAAAAACATTCGGTAGAAATAAGCCGCAACCCTTTTTACGCTTACCTTATTTCAAGAAAGACGCTAATTTATGCGTAGCTAGCACGTTAGTAGAGTATCTAAAACGAACAGAGAGCATTAGAGGAAGTATAACTTCTGTTTTCGTAACAATCAAGAAACCGCATAAGAAAACATCCACTCAAACCTTGGGGAGCTGGATTAAAATTGTCCTAAATAAGAGTAGGATTGATACGGATCATTTTACCGCTCATAGTACACGGCATGCTGTAACTTCAGCAGCTGCCAGGAAAGGGTTAAATTTTGATACCATCAGACTCGCTGCTGTTGGTCTAAAAATTCTAGAATGTTCGCTACTGTTTACAATAGATCCTTGATGGATAATGAGAATAGTTTTGCTGAGAAATTAATCTTTATATATTTTCAATATAGAAATGGGAGAAAAGATTATGTTGTTGTTATTACTTTAAAATCTACATTGTACTTATTTATGGAGACGAGACCTATATAATCACAAGATTAAACGAACTTACCTGAAGTGAAGTTCAATCTTGATTATATGAAGGTCTCGTCGAAATAAATAAGTTCCTCCCACCCTCAACCTCAATTTACAACAACATAATAAGTATCTTTAAATTGACTAAATAAGAAATGATGCAAGGGCATATAATGAGGTAAGGGAGCAGGGAAGCGAGGGGCATGTTGAAATTTGTTTGTTTAGGCTTTAAAATGTGTGGTCGCCGCACGGAGAAAAGGGAACTACATTGTACTTATTTATTTCGACGAGACCTTCATATAATCAAGATTGAACTTCACTTCAGGTAAGTTCGTTTAATCTTGTGATTATGTTATGTTTTAATAGATATTTCCATTTTTAATTTAATATTTTAAGGCCTTTGTCTCAAATTAAGTTAAGTTGGATAATGTTGTTTGATGTGAAATTTATGTTACCTATACTTTTTTCTTTAGTTGTGTTGATGTTTGTGTTTATGTTAATTTTTTATGACAGATTACTTAATAATTTGATATTATTTTCATTAAAAATCTCAATTTTTTATCCATTTTACTTTGAAAAACCATCCCTTGCTCTGATTGACGAATTGCACCACCATTGAACAAAAATTAGTTAGTACCGAAAGTATCGAAAGAAACGGGAAATCCCGGTTCCTAAGAGACGCGGTACCGAAATTCCCGCTTCCGAAAAACAGCTACGGTTCCGGAAGCCCTAATCCGTAACCTGGAAAGAGTTAACGGTCTAAGACACTCGAAGAAATTTCTCAGAACTTAAGACCGTGAAAAGTAAAAGATTTTTCTTGATTTAAGTAAGGACAATCTTAGAATTGCCACGGGGTTTTTAACAGGACACTCTTCAATGAACAGTTCAGTAGATTAAATCTACTAAACTATGGCGAATGCAGATTCTGTGGGGAAAATGGGGAAACACCAGAACACTTCATTACTGAGTGCGCCAAGGCGACAATTATTCGTGCTATACACTTTGATACGACTGATATCGGACATTTGAGAACTAACCTCTGTAAAACCGTCTCAGATACTGGCTTTTGTCAAAGTCCTGGAACTGTTTGATGAATTATAACTCAAGAAAGGGGTACACAATAGATCTGTATGGTCGCGGTGATTAACCCTCCTTCTATACATTCTACATTCGGGGTTCGAATTCAACAAAATAGAGATCAATCAACCAAAATAATCCGACTTTGTTTTATTTATTTATATCTTATATCATTGGTTTTCAAATTTTTCATGTGCATTTCACCTTTCAGAAGAACTATATTAGGCCACAGATTAGGCGGTGCATTTGGATAGGCGTACGGTGCATTCAGTGCACAGTGTGGTATTATCTGATACAGATAACTGGTAACTTCAAATTTAATATCGTTTTGTAGTAAAAATTAAAAAGTAAATAAAACAATCAATATCATTAACACAACATGCTCTATTTACACATATTCAATAAATACACTTTAACAAAATCGTTCAATCTCAATTCATCTAAGGCTTCTGTTCGGCTGCTTCTTCTGGATGGGCCTCGTTCCATGCCAGAGCCCTGGCAATGGCGGCGGGGATTTCTGGAGCTTGGGGAATGTCGGAACCTTGAGGTTGGTAACCGTTCTCGTCAGCTACGTAGCTGAATTGATGCTGTTGACCCTCTGGGTCGGTGTAATGGACTGAGCCTTGGACAGCTTGACCGGCTTCTTCACCAATCTGTATATAACAAGAACAAAAGAGTAATTATTCAATTTCTAGAATATTTTTAATTTTGAAAAATAAAAACTAGGTATTTGCTTGAAACTCTGACACAGGTTGCTGGTAGGCCTTGTCACAAATAAAAATATTTTCTTGAGTTAAGAGTATATTATACAGGGTGGTCCATCAGTGCAAGAAAGTCTAATACCGTCGTTGTTGTCGAAGATATAAAAAAAAATTATACAGTGTTTCAAAAAATATGTGCCATCTCTCGATTCTGCCTTATTTCGTAGCTACAGTGTGTTAGTGTATTTTAGATTTATTACAATTTTCTTAGTACTCTTAGTATTATTAGGTTCGATTCTGCCTTGTTTCGTAGCTACAGGGTGTTAAAGTCTTAGTATATTTTAGATTTATTATAATTTCCTTAGTACTCTTAGTAATTCGAATGAAATTTGAAGGGTAAAAGTTTTAAGTAAAGGAAAAAAAGTGTCGACATATTTACCAGGTACGTGCATATTATGGGTTATCACTGGAATATTTTTCTAAAAAAAGCATGTACGCCACTGACTTTCCCCTTGTTAGTAGCGAAATAGTGTAATAATAATTAAGAATAGTAGCAGTTTAATGCCGATTAAAACTTGTCTCTTAATATTTTGTCGATTTGGGCCTCCTTGATGAGACAAACGCAATTTTATTTATTTGTCTTGATCCATGTCTAAAGCTTCATTCAGAACCTCGCAATTAGTGGAATAAATTGGTGGTTTCAATTACACTTTATATTTTCAGTTTACGATCATTCACAATGTTTAAAAAATACAATTGAAATTAATAGAATATCCTAGCAACAGCTTGCTTTAGGCAATTGTATCCATAGAGAAAACCTAATATTAGGCTTACAAAGAAATCAACTTTTGATTTCTAACCACAATTTCTCTTGACGGAAGATCAAAGGCCAAAATGACGTGTCTCGCAAATTTTGAAGTATAATTAGTGGAAAAGTGAAAAGTTTGATTACTTTCTACTAATTGAAAATGTCTACCACTAATTTTGACGATGGTTAGATTAGGTTATGAATGCTTACATTGATATTAAAGGCAAACCAAAACAAACATCTACGCTAATTGACACCACTAATTTATTCCACTAATTGCGAGGTTCTGAAGAAAGCTTTAAAAATTTTTAATATCATTAACTTGCGAAGTGTTAAATAAGTACTCATTGATTCCTCATCAAAAAATATGAAAAAAACTTATAAACATGAGTATGGAAATGCATAGATTTAGAGTTACAGGATGAAACTTTTTAAAATGAGGTTTTCTGTAATTATTTTAAATATCATTATTTTTTATTTAAAATTGCTGTAGGTTGGACTAATAGTAATAATAACTAATAGTAAAATTTAGAAAGATAGAAAAACTGTGACCGTCTTCGTGGGAAATTCTATTTCAGAAAGTTGGCAATACCGAACATAGGACATTTTAAATATTAAAATATTGTTCAGGCCATAAAAAAAATATTGTGAATACGAATTCTACACAGAAAAATAAAGGTTGTAGTTTAAAAAAACTTACACCTTTCTCATTACTTTTTTGGCTAACCCTATATACAGGGTGAGTCTTAAATAAGTGCAAATATTTTTAGGGGTGATATATTTCGACCCCAGAAACACGATTATTTTTTCCAGGATTTTTTCGCGAAAACAAAATTTTGAATTTTTTTTTTCAAAAACATGATTGCTTGATAATAGGGCAACATAGTAGCTTAAATTTAAAAGAAAGAAAATCCAGAAAAGATGCAGTGACTCTCAAAATTAAAGCAAAAAATCTTTTTTTTTGAAATTTTTACATTAAAATAACTCGACTATTTCGGATTTATTTGAAAAACGATAAAGAAAAAATATGTTTCTTTTATCGGGATCTACCAACCCTCAAAATATTTTTACTTATGTAAGAAGACTCGCCCTGTATAATAAACTTTTTTTATGAATTGCACATTTATAAACCATGTAAACGGCAATATCGACGATAATGGACCTCGCACTTTTGGACCACCCTGTATAGTTAGTAACTAATAATACTGACCTGTTTAAGCTGCCCTTGTTGTTCCTGTCCGGAACCATCACCAGCCTCGTATTTCCATTGGAACGAACCATCGGGAGAGATGTCAGATTCCTGAGACAGGATAGGCACTGGTTCGGGTTCCTGCAGAGCAGCACCGTAGACCACGGCGTACAGAGCCACGAAAACAATAATTTTAGCGAACATTTTCGAACTAATGTAAGAAGTACTTCTTCGGACAACGAGCACTTAATGAAGAAGTTAAAAAATGCGTCCTCTTATATACAAAAAATCCTGCTAAGGTTATCCTAACCACCCAAAATATTGTTGGCCAAAACATAATTTTTTTTCTTATATTATTCAAGGATCGAGCGTCTTAGATTTGATGGTAATAATTTTGAATAGATTTAATTAAGGTGAAGAGCAACGGTTCAGTAAAGATACATAGACTTGTTTGCACAACACTTCGAATATGCATATAGATGTATATTGGGTTATTTTATGTTGTTATAATGACTTGTTTGGTCCCAATACAAATTGACGAGTGAAATTACAGAGATTAATGACTTTGAAGAATGCTTGACATGACTATTTGATTTTTTGCAAGCATTTATTATCAAGCGAACAGATTTTAAGTCAAACGTTGAAGGACGCAGAAGGGGTGGCAGAAAAATTGAGACGCGTTTTTCAAGAATTAATAGTACTGGTGCATTATGCAGTATTACACTAACAAATTTCTTTGAAAAATTTGACAGTGTTTCTATACAATATTTTATAAAATCACACATATTACACTGACAAATTCTTTGACAAAATAAAATCTTTGACAAAGAAAATTACTGGCTATTATACTGGCCTTAGTATCGTATGATCGAATAAAAACGGCGTCAGTGATGACTATGAAATGAACATAGATGACATTTCCCATATAAATTTACATATAAAATGACAGCGATCTTCATTTCATAACCATCGCTGCCGCCGTTTTTTTTTCGATCATACGGTATTAGTGAAATGATATAATGTAAAGAAATTTTAAATAAATTAATCTCCTGATTTCGCTGATGCTGAAATCGATGCATCGGAACCTTTAAACACAAATATCTTGAAAACCGTTCACTGTTCTCAACTAAACGAAGAGCACCTTTTTTATGTAAAAAAGTCCTGGCTTTAATTTTCACTTCTTGAAATTACTGTATCTATTAGTATAAGGATAAAAGAAGTACCTCCAGTAGTACTCTCTATCCTAATGGAAAGTACCCTTTCAGGGCTCTTACAGAATTTTGCACCATTCGCTTTGGCATTAAAATGTGTGTAACAGTATTTTAGAAAGTTTAGTATTTCAAGAAAAACGGTTTACCAATGATATTAAAAATATTCAAAATATATTATTTTTATTTAACCTTTCGAGGGCTGTATTTTCTTAGAAAGCATTTTAGGACATGTTCATAGGAACTTCTTGTTTTATTTTTATCTATAGAATCACCCACCGAAGTAAGATACACAATTTTTTTGACACCTTCTATATTTTTTCTGCGCTTTGCACCATTTTCTTCTATTCCGTTTATGAATTTTCTTTCTTACTGCAATTACCATCGCCACTTCTAGCAAGTTATATCTCGAATCCAGCGTTCTTAACTATGGTACGGATAAAATAAACTGGGCAAAATGGGACAGTGTCTAGAGGTTGCTTGCCCGTGCTTTCTTCGCGGTTTTAACTGTACGGTTAAAACCGAGTAAAATAACCGAAGTATATGAGGACTCTACTATATCAAACGTCGGCGTCGTTGGAGTGTCAGAGAACAAATATACAGGGTCCTGCAACAGTACGTAGAGCCTCTATAATAAAGATGTTTAGAAAAACGTTTAAGTGCAGGTAAATGGATTAGATTTACTAGGACGGATTTCACGAAAATATAATTATTTATACAGGGTGTCCCAAAAAGTTTTGCATAAAAAAGCTCGCCAGATGAAACTTAAATTTAAAGAAAAATTAATTAATTTGTAAATAAACAACTGTGGTGTTGTAACATTGAATTTTGAATGCTGAAAACGGTATATGTTTTTTCAATTTTTTAGAAGCTAATTGAAATTATATATTAATTGTTAAAATCTTTAAATCATTAAGCAGAAAAAAATGTTCATTTTTTTTGTCTAATCTTATGAAATACTATATTCATGATATAATAATAATATACAGGGTTTTTAGATTTTTACAAATTGTTAAGTTTTGGGTTCGTTGAAGGACTATTAGAGGTAGAATTTAAAAATATTTTTACAAGACACCGAGTGTCCCAAATAGTAAAAAATATTTTAGTTGTATTTTTTTAAATGTAACACCCTGTATATTATTCTATTTTTTGATTCTACCATTGAAATAAAGAAAATTTTGATTAAGGTTTATCACACTTGAACCTTATACCGTTGTTGAAATATTTTCAATTTTATAAAATTGCAGTAAAAATTTTAAGGCTTCATTTCTCCAAGGGTATCAACATTTTTAATATTAAATATTTACTGAAATTTATTTATTGATCAGATATTGTGTTGCAATAATAAACAAAATACTACCTTATACAGAGTGTCTAAAAATTTATATTAAATAATTACTAACTTTAAACGGCAATAACTTGTTTAATTTAAATGGAACACCCTGTTTTTTACTAGAATCAGATACATAATTTAATTGTTTATCAAATTTCACCATCTTAATCAAATTTACCGTTATAGAATAATTTTAATCGTAGAAACTAAAAATAAAATAATATACAAGGTGTTCCATTTAAAAAAATACAACTTTGATATTTTTTATTTATTTGGGACACTTTGTATCTTGTAAAAATATTATTAAATTGTAGCTCTAATAGTCCTTCAATGAACCCAAAACTTACAATTTTTAAAAATATAATCGTTTACCTACAATAGTCCGTGTCTTATGTGGTGAACAACCCTGTATAATCTTCGTTAATAAACTTGTTTAATAAATAAGTGTTAACCTAGCATTTTTCTGTATACAACTGGTTTGTTGATCTTGGGTATTTACGTTTTGTACAGTAAAATTTGACAAATTGTATTATGTAGCTGATATTTTACTTCTAATTTATATATAGCTTTATTATACAGGGTGATTCTTAAATAAGTTCAAATATTTTTAGGGGTAGTATATTTGGATCTCAGAAGCACGTTTATAAGTTTTTTCGTGAAAAACTATTTTGAAAATTAGAAATTTTTGGATTTTTTTTGGATATTTGTTCAATTTTTAGTTAAATTAAAAAACGGCACCTAAAGCCAGGTGTTGCCGGTCGTGTATAAGTTTATATTATTTCTTAGTTTATATTATATAAAAGATAATATTTTTTAAGTTTATTAAATTTAAAATGAATTAAAAGACGACACATTTTATAAAATTGCTCACTTTATTATCTACATATTTATCTCATAACACAACAAACAGTATAATATGATTATAAAATATATATAAAATACACTTTTATTTACAAAAGCACGACTGTATATAAATACAAAGAAACAATCAATAATAAATCAGACTTGTACATATACAATAAAAATCTAAATCCTGAAAGTCAGCGGTACGTAATCCTTAGTTAGCGATGAGTATCGGTTATTCCCCGTCTTGTTCCGGATGGGCGGCGTTGTATTCCAGAGCCCTGGCAATGGCGGGTGGGATTTCTGGAGCGACGGGGATGTCGGGACTCTGGGGCTGGTAACCGTTCTCGTCGGCAGTGTAGGTCAGCTGGTGTCCGCTACCCTCGTTGTCCGTCCACGAGGCGGCGCCCTGCATCACTACGGGAGTCTCTTTTTCAATCTGGAATATAGAAAAAATATTGTTTATACATTGAAAAAAAAAATCCGATAAATGGTAAATAAATCTTTTATACGGAGCGATCAACAATGATTGCTTTAGTTAGCGATATTGTGATAAAGAATTTTGTGATTAGTGGTTAGTACTGATGCTAATGAAAATTATCGATCGACAAATTTTCGAAAACTATGATAATTCATTTTTCATTTATTATTATACAAAACGAATTTAAATATCGGTCAAAAATTAGTCATAACATTTTTAATTTTTGTTTTATTTTGATCAATGACTAAAGAATACAAGCACACGTAACGCTCATACACGGGTTGGGGCAGAGTTTGTGTTTTGAGACGCCATTTTTTTGGAGACAATGGACGTGTCACCAGTGACAATTTTAGCGATTTTTGGTAGTTTGTTCCAGGGGGGTGACAGTAAACCGGAAAATTGGAAACAGTTCTGGCCCGGTCCTACCCAGGCAGAAAGCATGGCCTTCTAGACTGTCCTAGACAAAAATCTGAATATTTCTATATGATTTCTGTCAATTTCTGTTACGGAACATTTTTATGCACGTCGGCGTCCTCTTCTTTTTTCTGTGTGTCAGCCATGTGTCAACTCCCGAGGCCTCTGGCAAGGTCGAGCGCCATTTTAATTTTTGCCGTTTAGATTTGATTGGAAGTTTGTTTATGATATTTCGGCTGAAATTTATAAGTACAAAGATGTTTTTTAATATAAAGTTTCTTGTTAACACTTTAATAAAGTATATATGATATTAATTACATAAAGAAAATGATGAAATCGACGTTTCTGCGTGTAGTAGGTATGGGCAAAGGTATGGGCCATATTATATGTAAAAATAGGTAATATATTAACTGTTTTTATATTTTTTTAGCTTTAGATCCAAGGATCTTGGGATATTCTTTGCCAAGGATTTTTCCGTATCTCTACTTTAAAGACTGATCGGTGATTTTGAGCAATTGAAAGCAAGTTACACAAGGTAAATTATGATTATTGAAATATTATTAGCCTACATTAATTATCTACAAGATGAACAGAAATGCGTAATTACATTTCACATAGGTACCTATTATGTATTTTCATAGCAATAATGCTATGTATGTAGATTATTTTTTTGTAGATTATTTTTAAAATACAAATGAGGTATTAGATGTATATTATGTATCATATTTCTTATTCATTTTATTTTCATTCAAGTCCTGTTTGATTTAATTCACAAAAGTCTTATGTGCCTATATTTATGTTTTTTTACATATTTTTTTTTGATGCCAGGTTTTGCGTGGGCTGTTGTCTTTTTCCTGCTTCCAGTTAGTTAGTTTTACGCCCGTGAAGCTGTGAAAACATTTATTTATCTTCAAGTTTCTGTAAGTCAGTGCACTGTTACTTTACTAATTCACTTTAACACAGCATCTCTGATGTTATTTAAATATTTTGATATTGATACAGTAGTTTATGTGTTTATAGCTCTTTAATTGTGTTGATTTGCATATTTACATTGTTCTAAATTCCAAATAAATGTTTTTGAGTAATTTTGTTGTATTATTTACTACTAGAAAGAGTAAAAAGTATATTAACCCTCATTTAAACCTCCTGAACAGCCCGCCATTAAAAACCGTAAACGGAAATAAATTTCATAAAATTGAAATTGTCATGTCTATGTCATGTAAAATGTCCCAGCCGCCATATCTGAAAATTAGTTACCCAGGCAGCCACGCTGTTTCCATAATTTAACATTGACTTGACACTTCTTCTTGTATTTATTATTTTATGGTTTGTTCTGTATAGGAACTTTGTATAAACTTTATTACAATGGTGATTTATTCAGCTTTCAAATGTAAAACCCGCAACGATAAGAAAGAGGCCGGAGTTACGTTTCATAAACAGACCACTCCACCTTTTTAGCGTTTTCTTATTGAATTTGATAATTATTTTTCTGATATTACATGTACTTGATTTGTGCTATACATCGATACTAGTTTTGTACCTTTGTTATTTGTTAACATTTTTATACGTTTTTTTATAATTAATTAGTACGATACCAACTAAATAAGCAGCATACACCATAGGCGTAGTCAAAACATTTAGAAAAATATATAAATATCTCTTCAAGCACCTAAGTTAAGAAAAATATGCGGCACGGCACTGTTTGGAGACATGGTAACAATTTGGTTTCAGGTGTTATTGGTCCTTGTATTCTTTATGGACGATTTACACGGGACCAGTTGTGAAGACAGTCCATTTTGGCATCAGAAAATTATAAACACTTCTAAATAGTTGAACAGCTTAAGATAATAGCTGGAGACATTCCAATCGAATGGACTGTCTTTATTTATACGATGCCAATATTGGATTGGCTTTAGTAGAATGTCTTCACAATTGGCTTCGTGTAAATCGTCCATTAGTCATTAGTTTTAATGCTGATCAGCTGATAATAATTGAATTTCTTAAATTTATTGTTAACCAAAGAGCAAATTATTTTTTAGATTTTACTTTTATTAGCGAAATACCTAGGTTTTTTCCAAGAAGGTAGTTGCATACTAAACAATGTAAATTTTAATACGCAAAAATAATTAACAAAATGGCTATTTTACAGGCTCTTTTCATGAAATGAGCTGTATATAATTATTTACTAGATATTATAGTTCGACATCCTTGTCGACAATTTTAAAAATGTAATGAGTACTTTTTGTATTATTTAATTTTTTCGGCAGAATAATTTTCTTTGATCTTATGGCCTTAAAATTAAATATCCTTTTTAATATGGTGTAGGTATATTAATAAACAACAGCTAGTAAATTCATTTAAGCAAAAAGAAATTGCTTAATACTGAAAAACATATAACTACATAATAATCGCAGGAAAATATCAATTAAATTATGTTAAAATATATTTTATAGTCTTTTAATTACATTTTTGAAATGTATATCTATGGTTTTTAATTGTAAACATAACCAGGCGGCTACAAAACACCATAATAAATGAAAATGACCTATTGAATATGGAAAAATCTAAGGTGATTCAGGCAATAAAACATAATTTATAAATTCATCATTGATAAATATTAATCTTTAATTTAATCAAGAAGTCAATTTTTGTGTAATTTAAACATTTTAAAGTATATATAAGATATCTTTTGAATAACAATTAATAAGGTTAATTGTTTTTGCATAAAAGATGATTTATAGATAGGAAAAAAATCAAAAATATTTGTCAAATAAGAATAAGACAAATCTACCGGGTGTGTCTCAAAAGTGGCCCACTCTTTGCTCAACTTTTTTATTTTTTCAGATAAAAAAACGAGATTTGGTATGTTAGTATATGACATAAATTAGGATTGATTGATTTATTCAATTGTTTTTGGTCACTTCCTGTTTCACCGGAAATTACTACAACTTTTGATTTTTAAATGGCACCCTCTGTATCTTTTTACTTTATTCGATAGAAAATGACATTCTCAATAGAATGACATATCATATGTCAGCTTTTGATATTCTCGCTTAATAAAAAATCTAAATTTTTCTATCTAGATTTCAATCTAGAGTGCCATGGTTATATTAAAAACCGAAATGTTTTTAATCAAGAAGCTTTGTAAAAATAGATTTGATCGTCTAACGTTTTTAGTCACCCTGTCCTGGCTGGTTAAATATGACCAAATCGTATTTTTAATCATATCTCAATTTTTTCGAACGGAACGAGGGTGGCTCATTAGCATATTTGGAAAAATATTTTTTTACGAATTATTTGATACCACATACCACACACTTGGTATTTGGAGTCAAATTTTCGTTATGAACCGCACGTTATAATTTCAAATAAACCATATGCAAAAATATCAAAAGTTGACATATGATACGCCATTCTATTCAGAGTGTTATTTTCTATCGAATAAAGTAAAAAAATACCGCTCAAAAGTATTAATTTTTGCGACGTGATTGACAATATAAAAAAGTCATTTTAACGCCTAGGTCTAAAAGTAAAGCACTTTTACGCCAAAGCATAAAAGTACGAAAATATATTATTAAACTGACATAAAGTGTCAAATTCAACTAGCGTAACCATAGTTTCTCAATATATAATTAATAATTACATATAAGGTATGACATTTAAATCTTTTTATATTACTTGGAACGTTTGAAATTGTTTAAAAACTTATTTGGTGGCGTTTGAAAAAATAGCATGTTCTATTCGGTTTAAAAATGACTTTTTGTGCCACGGCTATATGTGTCAATGTACAGCCTCGCCACAAAAAATGCCCCATTTTACTCCTAATACAAATACAACAATATACTATTATTATTAACAGAATTAATGATTTTTAAATGGCTTTACAGCAGAAACTGCAAGGTTTTGATATAGGAACATGGTCATATTGGTCATATCGTTTATCGTCATATCATCAATATTAGTTCCTTAATTTTTCCTGATTTTGGTTAAGATAACACGAACACCCTATACAGGGGGTTCCATTTTTGTGTATTTTACATGTTTTTCGTTTATGAGTAGAGATACAAACATGCTACACACAGATTTGTCCTAGCTCCCTATGTTTCTGAAATACGGGACGAATTTGAAAATGCTGCAATTTTCGATTCCTTGCGTATTTCGGTTATATTATTATTTAATTTAAATTAATAATAATATTAATTATCAGTTAACTTATTGAAAAGATAAAAAATGAGTCTCACAAAGTCTTTCACGTTGAATCCTGTGGCGTAATTAGTTTTTCGTTAGGAACTGTCATTTATAAAAACACACATTACTTTGCTAACTCAAAATAGAAACTAGAGGGCCTCGGATAAAGCTGTGTGGTAGCACCTTTAAGCAAAGCTTTAAAGCACAGCTTTAAAGCACAGCTTAAGGGCTCGAACTCACTGACGACTAGGTCGCAACGACCTGGCCATCGGTTGGCCGGATGTATTGCGTTTTTAGCTGCGGCCAGATGAGCGACCAGTTTCAACAGAGTTGTCAAATCTAACGATTTTTTACGTTTTACCAATTAGAAAATATTGTTTCAGAAATGTTAAAATATCCGAGTTAACTAAAAAGCGAGTTGCTATTCACAACAAACAAAAAGCATTGTGTACGCGCGACCGACAATAAGGGAGATATTCTGTTTCTTTTTTCTACTGATATGGCGCTCTTATCGACTTTAGAAGTAAATATTAGGGCCATCGTAAAAAAAGATCGTCAGACACTGGCTCTAAATATAAGCAGGTAGAAAGTTTAGCTTCCAGTTATTTCAATGTTTAAAATATAACGAAAAATCTACAACAGTAATTACTTCTATTTTTATGAAAGTTACTTTCTTATTTTTTTTTTCAAAATAATGTACCTAGTAGAAATATAGTCTAATGAACCCTGTTTGAAAAACGTTAAATTAAATATCATATATAAAATACAGTTGTCCTCCTTGTACATGACTGCAATACAACTAAAAAAACTAATTTAATAAAAAAATAAGTGGTTGTAGAAAAACTTTAAATATTATTTTTTTTTATTTTTTAACATCGAAACTCAAAGGTATAATAACAGGTTGTCGTGATCCTGGATTGGACCACCGTCGTCACCAATCTTGTAGTCGCTGCCACCAAATGTTGTAGTTCTCTATTTGACTCGTATCACCACTTGTTGGGAATGTTAAAAAAGGGATTAGATTTAAGTTTACCTTTGATCCAGTCTGTATACTATTTCTTTGGATTTTCTGCACGTGTGCAAAAACTACACTAAAACACTATATCTTATAGAAAATAAAATATTGTGCCTTGAATTTGAGGGATTTCATCTGAAAAATTATTAATTTGGAAGAAAACTGGCAACAAGCGGCAGAAAATAATAATATTTCCCTGCAGTCTTCTGGTCGCAACGACCAACGGACGGCCAGGACGTTAGTGTGCGCTATATCATTTGATATAATGGTTTTAGAGGTAGCTGCGGCCTGGCCGGTGCGACCTGGTCGTCAGTGTGTTTGAGCCCTAAGGTCGAAAGGCATTTGGCGGCCGCGGAATATGAACCCTATTCTGAGACTATCGGAACGATCGCTTCATAATGTAGAAAATAATACAGAATACGGCCCTTGTTCACGATGCGATGGGATCGCGATCGCCTAATGCGTTTTGGCTTTTAGTTTCATAAAAAAGTAGCACAGTAAAGTGAAAACCATATCCTTTTATTTTTACTCATGTACGAGAAAACCCGTAAAAAAGCACAAAAATGAGACACCCCCTAAGTACATTTTCTTTAAATAAATCACTGTAAGTATACTGACTTGCTTGGGTTGCCCGCTCTGCTCCTGCTTGGTACCATCCCCCGACTCGTACGACCACTTGAATGACCCGTCCGGCTGGATGTCGCTCTCCTGCGAGATAATGGGCACGGGTTCCTTGTCGGCCGGAGCACTATATACGGCGCCGCAACATATCGTCGCCAGGATCAGTAACGCCTGCACTTTGGGCGCCATATCGTAATTTACTAGTACTACTACCTAACTGATTCCCGTAGCCGAACTATGCGCTTTTTATATGGGAAATGCCGATGGTTGTGATTTATCGGTCCCCCCTGCATGTACATTACAAAGAAAATTAAGGATGGTACTCGGTGTTGTTGTCGGGTATGTGAGATGACACGGTGGCATTTTGTAATTGCAGAAGGTTCGAGGTAAATAGCAACGACAAAGATTATGAAAAACACGAAATTTTCAAATTAGTACCAAGATGAAATATATCTAGAGGATCTAAACTACAGTATGTCCCAAGATTGTGTTTACAAGAGGAAAACCTTGAGACATTTTGAGAAAAATTTCTTTTTCATAAAAAAAATTGCTTGTCTAAAATGGGTAATGCTGTTCATACTTTTCCAAATTACAAAACCGTTTTAGAGAAAATTAAAAAGAAAACATGAAATTTTGGTTGAATTTTTCCCTTGAAAAAGTCTTAAAAATCCAAAAGCGTTTCTATATGGTACTCGTTATATTCTACTATAATAGTAGAGGAAAGTAACCAAATATGGAATACCATTTAGTTTTTGTGTTATACAGGGTGAGTCTTAAATAAATGCAAATATTTTTAGTGGTAGTATATTTCAACCCCAGAAACACGATTATTAGTTTTTTTTTCGCGATTTCTTTTTTAATTTGGATTTTTTTGATAAAATTTTTGTATTTTTTTTGTTTTTTGTTAAAAAACACAATTTGTTGATCATATGGCAACATAGGTAGTAGATTAAATTTACAAGAAAAAAAATCCAGAAAAGATCCAGTGGTTCTCAAAATGTTAGAAAAAAACTCTTTTTAAAAAAACTTTTTTTGGAACTTTTCAAAGTAAAATATCTCGGTTATTTCGGATTTATTTGAAGAACGGTAAAGAGAAAATATGTTTCTTTTATGGAGATCTACCAGTTCTGAAAATATTTTTACTTATTTAAGACTCACCCTGTATACAAAAAGGGTTTGCAAATATTTTTTTTTTATTTCTTGTCATACATTTGCACATAACTTAATAACTATTTCCTGTTACAGATATTAGTTTAAAGTATATTTTTTTCTCAAAAACAAATAGGAAAACAATAGGAAAAAGTACCCAAATATGGACCACTATAACACGAACACTTCAAACTAATCAAAACTGATTGATGGCCAAACCAAATAAGATTTTTTATTAAATACATTCAAAAAAGAAAAGACACCTAAAACAATCAAACAAACATGTAATCAATTCATCGTCATAATATACAATCACGTATCAAGAAATACTTACTTTCTGAGCACCATAAAAACTTTTCTCATAGCGCTGAAAAAAACATCACCGTGGACACAAAGTCCGTTTGAATGACAAGGCAAAAACCTGCACGTGAGTATAATGATTGAAAGAGATTAAAAATCACTGTCTTTTGAAATTAGGCGTATTCGTTTCCGAGTAACGATAACGGTGGTATTCTATATTAGGCATCTTATTCCATATTGGTTTGTAGAATGCAGAATGAGTAAGAGGGGGGGGGGGTTAATCACCGCGACCTTAAAGTTCTGTTGTGTCCCCCTTTCTTGAGTTATCGCTTATCATACAGTATACAGGGTGCTACAAATTCGAGGTACGAGCATTGGTATCTCGGTAACCGTAATAGGTACGAACATGGTTAAATTGGGACAAAGTTGCGCTTTGGGATGTTCACCAAGATCCCATCAAAAAAGTTTTAAAAATTTCAAGGATTGCTGAGTTTCTTGGATAAAACGGATTTTTTTAAAAATTAATTTTATTTTTTCCCGTCGTTACTTTTAAGAAAATCAAAAAACTAATTGCACATTTTCATAGCCACTTTATTAGGGCTATTTGATAATATTTTTAGATTTTCATATTAGCTGATGATTTGTGAGATACAGAGGCCAACTTAATTTTTTTAAATACGGACCTGCATTTTTTATTTCAGATTTTGAAAGAACTCGGTCTCCTGAGTACAATGATATGCCACACTTAATTTTTTTTTTATTTCAGACATTTGAACACAATTATTTATTTAAACAAATTTCAAGTCCGGCTCTGTTTTTTTTTAAATATTTAATCTATTCATTGTTACAATATCGATAAGCTTTCAAACTTAAAAATGACGTGGGGTAAAACATTGAATATTGAAAATCAAATGCAATAAAATAATAAAAAATAATATACAAATGAATACATTACTTCACGTCATTTGTAAAAGTGAAATCAATACATCTCAACATTAAGAGTATAAAATGCTTTCGGAAGTATAAGAACAAAGTTCAGAGCTATAAATAAAATTGAACGAAAAATAAATTTGTGCAATAGGGAGGGTTGTAACCCTTTCGTAGAACATTAGAAACTAGTTTGTAGATTTGTTGTTTGTAGAGTTAATTATTTATTTATAGTAACTACGATGAATATTACGCATATTATTAGATCGCACACTGAGATTTCAAATTCACAATAAAACAAATAAAAATAATATATTTAAATTGCTGACCTGGATATAATTTATTTGAATCTTCCAATTGGCTCGATTTTCCTTATTCAATGTTAATTAGCGCTGATCAATATGTATATTACAATGAATATAATCAGATTAAATAATTAAAAAAAACAGAGTCGGACTTGATATTATTTTAAATAATAATTATATAGTTTTTTGTTGTTAAGGTACCAAAAAAAAGTATAAAGTGTGGCATATTATTGTACTCAAAAGACCGAGTTCTTTCAAAACCGAAAATAAAAAATGCAAGTCGGTATTTAAAAAAATTAAGTTGGCCTCTGTATCTCACAAATTATCAGCTAATTTGAAAATCTAAAAATACTATCAGATAGCCCTAATAATGTGGCTATGAAAATGTGTAATTAGTTTTTTGATTTTCTTTAAAGTAACGATAGGAAAAAATAAAATTGATTGTCAAAAAAATCCGTTTTTCCAAAAAACTCAGCAATCCTTGAAATTTTTAAAACTTTTTTGATGGCATCTTCGTGAACATCACAAAGCGCAACTTTGCCCCAATTTAACCATGGTCGTATCTATTACGGTTACCGAGATACCAATGCTCGTACCTCGAATTTGTAGCACCCTGTATAACTCATCATACATGAGGATCTTTCTGTTGTAGGAGGGACAGGACTCTGATAAAATACATATGTTCATCCTCGAGGAGTGGGCATCTACTTCCTACAAGGGTATACACCTTTCCACGGTTGGGGTTTAGCCCTCCGTGTCCTTCACAGTCGAGGAGCTTGTCTCCGGCTGAGGTATCCGTGAGGTGGAGGTTAGGGATCTGTCTTCCATTTTCTCCACCTCTTTAACTTGGTCTCTCTTTAGACCTGAGATAACGGTGTTGTCCCAAATCTATAATAGAGGATATATCCCTCTTTCTCTATTGCCTCCTTGGATTTTTTTTTCCTGGCCACGACAACAGCCAGGGACAAGGCAATGAGATGCTCTTTATACCCAGCCAAAGTGCCAGAAAGGATTCCTTCTAGTATCTGACTAGGAGCTTCCCCACCAACGACAAGGTGTCGCATCTTCTAGAGGAAGCCATATTTGGATACTCTCCTCCAGCTCTCCTCTATCAAATTGACAAAATAGTTGCCATGACAAATATTCAAATTTAAAAGTGTCAGTTTTAGCCATAGATAAAAGAAAATAATCTTCTATTAAGATAGATATGAAACTTAATAGTAAAATTTTGGGTCAAAGCGCCCCTCCGTGTTTTTAGTAGAGACTACGTTTAACCCAGAGCCTTCGCCTTTTCTGCTGTAAATATTTTTTATGTTTATATTTGATTTCAAAGGATTTAGTTTTAAAGTTACACTGATATATTAGTATATCAGAGTAACTTTAATAAAACATAAGAATATATATATTTTACAGTTTATTAAATATAAATTTTGACTACAAGGTAGAAAGTAAATCACAATATTTGATAAAACTTATAAGTATACCATTTTTACAGTTTATAAATAATAAAACTATTTCTGACTATGATATTTAAAATTTAGATAGAATATTAAAAAACATACTGGGTATTTGCAGACGCAGGCCCAAATTCAATAAAAACCAAAATTTTTCCTGCGAAAATCGGGCTTTTTCACAGAAAAGGTATTTTTTGATTTATCAACAATCATTGTTAAGTTGACAGGGTGTTTTCTAATTAGTCTAAAAAATTGTGGTGTGATTCCTCATGTGTTCTTAAAACAATTTTTATATAACCATTGGGTCTAAAGTACTTCCTTTCTGATCTACAGGGTGTTAAAAATTTAAAAAAATCGATATTTTGCTTAAAATAAATGGTACTACTGCTTTTTTAAAGAAAATATTTTTTTTTCTTGGCTGGCCATCCTTTTTCAACTAAATTGATCTTTTGAGTTTTTCTTGTTTATCAAACGGTTGCCGAGAAAAAAATAAATATTCTTATTAAAAGCCCGCCTTAAGCCGTTTTCTAACGATTTTTTATTTTTTAGATTAATTAGGAAACACACTGTATATGCATATCACAGGCAACCAAATAAACTAGTAACCTCTAAAAATTATTTTTCCTACCACTAGCGACATACCGTGTTTTTAGTGAGTACTAAATTATTTTATAAAAATTTCACCATATAAGTTTCCAGGCAATGGTTATAGCATAGATAAATGAAACAAGTTTATTGGAAAGTATCCATAAGGACAATGTAAACACTATTTTGGTAATTTCGGATCGGTTCGGCTTTGTCCGGAATTATGTGGCCAGATATTATTTATTCAAATTTATTATAATTTTTTTCTTATGTGAAATACCTATGAAACATTGGAAACCGACGTAATGCCACAATCCACGATGGTTTTTGCAGTTCACAGTTCACAACACAGTTATTTAATTTTTAATGCCACTTTTTCACAATTATCACGAGTTTGAGTGAATTAGATTTAAATTACTCACAAGATAGCAATAATTACTTTGAGAATGGGCGCTTTAAACACTTTTCGGTATTTTTTCAATGAGGGCGGTTTAAATTTTGAAAGATTTTATAATTCTTGATGATTCTGACTTTGATAGAGAAAATTATTTCTGCTTTGTTTGCGGTTGTTCGTAGCAACCGCTATAGCAGCGCTAGATCCCGTACAACGTATGCGACCCAAAACAATTATATGTTTAGCGGGAAGCCGATCATTCAAATCTAAATTTATTTCCTTTATCTATGAGTTAGAGTTTGTGCTCCCAAATTTCTAAAATTGTCATAAGAACGAAATTCTAGAAATTGATTTTACTATTAGCAGAATAATTTTTAAATGGCTCTATCGCAGAAACCAAAATATAGCCGATATACTAATATATTAATTCAGCAATACCCGTTAACAATAAATAATAATGTAATTTACCATAAAGATTGTATATTTCAAAAGTATTACTAAGTACTAAGTACCACTGAGAACAAAAATAACAAAAAACAACTTTGAACAAAAATCATTCTTAATTTCTCGTTTTGTAATGGATTCAAGTACGTCACTTCTTAAACACAATTATATATGTACACAAATAAATAACGACTTTGCAATTTTTTACGGTATGATGAGTCTTTACCACGCATTACTTAAGAAAATAATACACGCTCGCAAAGGTCAATCCCAACATGCAATCGTGTCAATCCGTAATTGATAGCTATGTCAACTACAGTACAAAACTTATTTCTGTTAATCTAGTACGTGAAACAAGCTGATATAAATGTAAATTTTCATTTCCGGAGAATACATAAATATACTGAGTGCTTCATGGTCGATGTTATACTTTTATCTACAATGGGGTAACAATTTTGAGAATATGAATTCTCGTATAAACGCAGTTGCTCCATCGATTTAAATAATAGTACACCATTAATTCATTTTAAAAGATATGCTAATTTAGATGTGACATCTTGTATATTTCTTTAAATGTGGTAGATAACGATTCAGTATAGAATCTAAAAAAATGTTGTACTTGTAGGTACTGGTGTTTATTTATTTTAACTTTCTGCCCTCAATATTAAGGGGCCGCGCGGCCGCTTCTCAGAAACACTATGACATGTACAGGGTGGGCCAAACCCATACAGCCACGGTACGTACTATATAAGTACCTGGTTTTTTAATGTATTTTATGTTTTGTTCCGGACCAAAACTGGATGTAAAATGATCGAAAGTACCTACAATATACGTACTATGGACATACAATGTACGTACTATGGACGTACATTTTTCAACGACGTATACGACCTAGGAATTTAATTAGAAATAATTCAATGGAAGTCAGCTTAAAATATTTATTAATATAAAAACACAGGTACAGGGTCATCCCTTATGTCTTGATACACCCGTGAGTCTGGCTTCGGTCCGGCAACTACACCCTTAGCGCACTCTGTCTTTTATTGGATGTTGATAGATATTTTATTTTTTTTATTCTCGAACTGTTTCTAGCTAAAAAATATAAAAAGAAAACTAAGTATACAAATATCTAATTCTTGCCTCTGTTTTGAAAAAACTGAATGAGCCGATTCTCAATCATTCGAGGTTGTGACTGTGCTAGGTGAGATAGTCACATTAGATGTGGCAGTGTCATGTAATTCATCTGATGATTCCGCACTTTAAGATACACAACAGAAGTTATCTCGAGGGTTATCTGTTTCAGTTTCGCTATTGACAAGATGTGGCAGAGAATCTTCAGACTGTAAATCAAGAACTGAAACATCTGATGTGCTATGTTGATCATTACAAGATTGAAGGAAAGATTCCTGATTAAATGAAGCAGGCTGTCTATTTTGATTAGGGTATGGAGCTTCTTGAAGAGCTCTTTCAAACCGCTTAATTTGAATATTTGCCCTTTTGTAATATTTGCTAGAAGTATCTTTGCGCCACATTTTATTATTACACTTTAACTTACCTTCAAACAACTAGCAACGAAGGCAACGACAAAAGAAAACAAGGCGGAAGCCAAACAACCTACGGCCACCATGACACAACCAAATCGAAAATTGGATCGGAGTAGGTGCGCACTCAGTGTATTGTTGTTTTTATTTTTTACGTTGATTAATAAAAGATGGAAATACACTGAGTGCGCACGTGCGCTCTAGCTCTGCCAATCGAAAACGCCATTAGAAACCGCCCGACTTCCGACACACGTGTGATTGCGTGGGATGGCGTGACGTGGGGTGGCGTGTTGCCTAGTGTGTACGCATACATGTAATTAAATGGAAAAACATAGGCACATATCTTCATTACGTGGAGTAGCATGGGGTCGTGTGGCGTGGCGTGTTGGCTGATGGGGTCCCGGCATTATTTCTTCAATCAACGATATGGGAAAATACTTACTCTTCTTTCTTTATTCATTACATGATAATTAACTGAGTGTATTGACCGTACTCTTCGTACACACGAAAATTGGCACCCAAGGCCAGAAATGCCAACCCTAGTATACATTATCCCTAGTATACATTTTTTACCTTTAGTAAGTACTCTCAAAAATTTAGCAGTTTTACAATATCTACAATATGTTTTTAATATTCTCCTAATTAGCAATAGTTGCAATAGTGCAATTTTATTAATTCACTGCCTAGTTAAAACATCTTTGTGAATAGTTTTATAACATTAATATTTTGACCTTTTGGTATATAGATATAACCATGTAATAAATTTCGTAATAGAGGTAATTTAAAATTATCCTTAAAAATTTTAGCAATTTGCATTCGACATTATAGCAAATAATGAATACTTAAAATTTTGTTTTAGTGTTAGAATTTTTTTAAATAATATACATACTGTTTCGAAAAACTTTCCCATCGGGTTTAATGATTGATTTTTATTAACATTTTTGTTAGCATACAAAGAAAAATACAAAGTTATCGTCATTCCAAAAAAAAAATCCCATAAAAAATTGGTAGATAGATGTCACTAAGTCGCATCTTTGTGGAATTCCGGTTTGTGTATTTTATATACGGGGTGTTCAAGCAGCTACTTCACTTGCAATATTGTCTAAGGAGAATATACCTGACAGCGAGAGTTGCTCTCTGTCATTTTAATTCACAGGTAAATTGTATTTTCTGTCATTTACGGAGGACTATTTCGTTTTGGCATTAATAAATTCTTAATTGTGTTGGTAAATTAAATATCTACTGACCGTTGCACATCACATTTTCCAGCAATAAGTATTTTAAGACGTCTGGCTCTTTGATATATCTTTTACTCTGCTTTATAGAACAGCATGCGGCCCGTCTGGCTGCCGGTAAACGTTGCGTTCCCTGCTGCGCATTGAAAGAAGATGTTATATTTTTATTAGTTCTTTAAATTCTAGTACTGAATATAAATCGAACATGTCTCCAGAGCGCAGTGCGTAGAGTTTCCGACTACAAACCGATGATTCAGAGTTAGTGGGCCGCATGCTGTATTTGTAAGGGGGACACTTAAAATGAATATTTTTAGCCTTTTTTTTCAACCCCCTAGGAGAGGTAGATGTCACCTTTACAATCTTAAATGGGAATGGGGGTCAAGTGGTATCCTACTTTATTGCTTTTTATCCAGAGGTTTCCGAATAATCGCGTTTCAAAGGTGCAGAAACAATTAAACGTGCCAGAGTTTGGTTTTCAGGTTAGTGTTTACACAAAAGTTATTGCAATGGATCTCCTTGTAGTACAAATGATTAGAAGATTAGGTTACACCACTTACGCCCTATTTTATAAGTTGTTCAAAATGTTGTCCATTTTCCCGTAAACAGTAATAAAGTCTGTTTTCAAACACCTCCCTAACATTTCGGAAAATTTCACCGGGAATTGACTGGCATTCTGCTGTAATTCGCCTTTTAAGATCATCAATATCAGTAGATTGTGTTTTATAAACAATGGATTTAAGATGTCCCCCCCCCCCCAAAGAAAAGTCTAAACAAACAACGCTTTATTGTGCAAAAAGCCAAAACAGCTTCATCGACAAAGCACTCACAAACAACAAAATCACAAAAAAATACAAACAACAAAAAATACACAATACAAATAATACAATTCAAAAAAATTTAAGTCTTTAAAATTACAAAAAGAATATACATGGACACTTATTTTTAATTTACATCCACGAGTGCAATGTCGTTTTAGTAGATATGTGACATCGTAACGATTAAGATATTCAACAAAGTTGAGTTGTTTTTACAGTTAGATTTCCTGGACATTTGTTCAAATTTCGGCTGGACCACCACGCACACATGGAAAACCCGGACATTTCCGGGTATATCCGGGTGTATATAAGCTTTATAATATAGAACCTCTACAGAACACAAGATAAAAGGCAAATAAAAAGTAATGTAGAACATGCTATTTAGGGCGCCATTTTAAACCCAAATGCCTAATATTTAATCCAATAAAAAATGAACATCTTTTGTATTTAAAGTATTTCAAAATTTTTAATGGGGTATACGGAAGAGATATTTCATATATCTCTTTCGAGGCGAGTCTTAAATAAATGAAAATATTTTCAGGGCTGGTAGGTTTTGGTAATATTTTATCTTTGCCAGTGTTTCAAATAAATCCGAAATAGCCGAGTTATTTTACTTGAAAATTTATTATATTCCTCTAAATATACCTATGTTGCCATATTAGAAAATTAAAAAAAATCCAATTTTTTTTCGAAAAATAAAAAATTTTAATTTTTTTTCGCTAAAAAACTCATAGGCGTGTTCCTGGTCTCGAAGTATATCACACCTAAAAAGATTTGCACTCATTTAAGACTTACCCTGAATACAACGGAAAATAATTTAAACATAATAAAATTTACTGTTTTTATTAATTTTGAATTCCTAATAACACAGCCAAATATACATATAGAAAAATGCTGATTTTAAATAATTTACTCTTCCTGGTCAGGCTCGGAGTTAAAAAATCCTTTAATAAGTTATTGTGGTTGTTTGGGGAGAACTTGTAATATTCTGTAAAGCTCTAGCAATAGCAACGGGCACTTCGGGAGGTACTGGAATATCATCACCTTGAGCTTGGAATCCACTTTCATCAGCTGTGTAAGACAGATGATGTTGTCCACCTTGAGGATCGACCCATGTAACAGACCCTTGGATAGCTTCCACGGTACCATTTGCAGTTTGCTTTAACGTTGCAGTTTGTTCTTGCTTGGTACCATCTGCAGATTCGTAACTCCATTTGTAGGAACCGTCTGGTTGGACATCTGATTCTTGGGACACAATTGGTATTTCGGTGTGGTTTGGAACAGAAGCACTAAGCACTATGGCCAAAAGACCAGATATCACAGCTACTTTACACAACATTATGATTTAATAGATTATATTTGACTATGCTTGAATTCACAATGATGCATAGTAGAATATTCTAACTTTATATACCCTATCAAACACCCCACTTTTTTTGCAAACTAAAAATTAAAATCATTTACAGTCAAGGAATAACATGTTTAACGTATATTGTAACACAATTAACATCTTTCTGAATCAGCTAGGTGCAAAAATTGTCTGCATCACAAGGACCATATTAAGTAATTTTTATTTAGAATATAATAGGAAATTGCAATATGCTAATATAGGATAAAATTTGTTAGTAATTGGTAAAATATACAGGATTATTAGCATTAATTTTATACTCTAGCAGAGATGCGTTATTTAGCAACAATTAAACTTTTTATATCTATTTCCTTACAACGAAATGAACAACATTTTTAACTTTTGATTGTATCTATAAATGATTTGTAGCCATGTATATTTTAAACAATACACATGCAAAAAGAAATATACAGGGTTGTTCACCACACACGACATGGAGTATTGTAGCAAAACGATTAGATTTTTGCAAATTGTTAAGTTTTGAGTTCGTTGAAGGACTATTAGAGCTACAATTTAAAAATATTACATACGAGAGTGTCCCAAATAAATAAAAATATCAAAGTTGTATTTTTTTAAAAGGAACATCCTGTATATTATTACATTTTTAGTTTCTGCGATTAAAATAAAGGTAAATTTGATTAAGGTTTACCGCATTTTAATTTTACCGTATTTGAAATATTTAGGTTTTTAATCGTTTAGGTCAAAATACAGTAATACATTTTAATGCTTTATTTCTCTAGGCGTTTTTAAGTTTTCAAAACCAAATATTGTACTGAATTATTTTTATATACTAAATTACATTTTTTTACATATGTCTTCACGTTTTCGTAGAAAATTATTTTTTTTTTATATTTTAGAAAAAAATTAAAAACTGGTTAAATAATTGTTAAACAGAACACAGAACCAATTAATATGTTTCCAGTATTCAAATTATATTAATTGACTGTTTTTACGTTGATTAATAATAATTACTCCAAATACTAAAAAACTGAATTTTATATGTGTGTTAGACAGTGTGGTAAAAAGTAACACATTCATAATTTAGTATTAAAAACTTTGATACCCTTGGAGAAATGAAGCCCTAAAAATTTTACTGCAATTTCACAAAATTGAAAATATTTCAAAAACGGTAAGGTTTAAGGGTGATAAAACATAATGAAGTTTACATTTATTTTAATCGTAGAAACTAAAAATTTAATAATATACAGGATGTTCCATTTAAAAAAAATACAACTTTGATATTTTTTATTTATTTGGGACACTCTGTATCTTGTAAAAATATTTTTGAATTGTAGCTCTAATAGTCCTTCAACGAACCCAAAACTTACAATTTTTAAAAATCTAATCGTTTAGCTACAATACTCCGTGTCGTATGTGGTGAACAGCCCTGTATATATTTTTATTTAATTTAGATTATAAGGTACCTCAGATTCATCAGATTCCATCTATAGTTATCTGCAAAGTTGAGCAGGGCCTTACCATTCTTTTCTCGAAGCAACTCTATTATTTTTATGATCAATGTGACATGTGACATACTATAACTAGCTATATGCCAATATTATCTAACATATTTGATACCAATTAAACTTTTAGTTACATAATCGAGGGCGCGATTTTTAAATTCATTGTTGCCAACCATGGACATACTCGGCGCCGGCCTGACTAACTGGAACTCAAATTTCCCGATGGGGATTCAGGTGGTAGCCCTGCTGTAAAAAATGTCAAGTTGACACATTTATTTATTTATTTCCTGACATTGTCATTTGATTGGACATTATAGTTTTGTATTACTGGTATTGGTGGTTTAAATAAATTATGTTGTGACACTTAAAGCATAAAAATTTTCACTGGCAGACCTTGCAGTTGAGTTTCTTTTAGTGCGAATACTTGAGAACTTCTTTTAGTGCGAAGTGTACAGGGTGGTCGAAATTGGTCTGTTTTAACAGAGAAACCCTACTTTCTGGCTAGATAGAGCAAAACCGACATAGATGTCACGAGCTCGATTTCTGAGAAACGTTTAATGGCGTAAACCACCTGTTGATATTTTCACTGCCAACTGAGATAGGGGTCTTTTTGATTTTTTTACCATTTTGAAAATTGCCCATTACTTTTTTGTTTTGCGGAATAATAAAATTCTGTGAAAACGTTATTAAGGCACTTTTTTAGGCACAATCCAGTGGCGTAGTCAATTTTTTTCTATGCATAGTTGGCTATGATATTGAACTTAAAAAAATGCTGGCGTTTTACCCTTTTCAATGATCTAAAGTTATGGACATCTATTTCTAAGAATGACAGAAATATTAGGCTTTTGATCTTTATATCGAAGCGGGCCTTGATTTTGTGTTGACCTATTTGCCTAATTATTTTTTATCACAATTTAATATTCTGTATTATTATTTATCTGCATGATTAAAGATTTTTGAAAAAGTAAATTAACATTCTATATTAGTATTAGTAATTACAATTAAAATCGATACAATAAACAAAGAATAAAACTAAAAAAATGTATTTTTTGAGTGACGAATATAGTTTTCTAAAAAAAAATCATCAAAGATGTTCAAACTGAGCCACCCTCTTGTTGAATACACAATAAAGATCTTTCGCGCACAGAGTTACATCAATTTATTAGGCGAACTGGTGTAATAAGTCCAAAAGTAGCCTTCTGTAATTCTTCTCTCGTCCCAATGGTTCTTCCCTTATATATAAGGCCTTTTAATTTCCAATCCAATTCTCTCTAAATTCTCCATTTAATAGTGCAGTTGTAACCCTGGCTTTTTAATTGTAAATGGTAATACTAATATAGAATGTTGATTTACCTTTTCAAAAGTCTTTAACTATGCAGATAAATAATGATATAGACTATTAAATTGTGATAAAAAATAATTAGGTTACTATAATAGGTCAATACAAAATCAAGGCCCGCTTCGATACAAAGATAAAAAACGTAATATTTCTCTCATTTTTAGAAATAAATACACATAACTTTATATCATTGGAAAGGGTAAAACGCTAGCATTTTTTTAAGTTCATAGCCAACTATTATTTCCATTTAAACATTATATTTTTTTTATTTCTGATTAAAAAAGCAAGTACAGAGAAAAACTGATTACGCCACTGGATTGTGCTTAAAAAAGTGCCTTAAGAACGTTTTTACAGAATTTTATTATTCCGGGAAATACAAAAGTTATGGGCAATTTTCCAAATGGTAAAAAATTCAAAAAGACCCCGTATCTCGGTTGGCAGTGAAAATATGAACGGTTTAGGCCATTAAACGTTTTCAGAAATCGAGCCCATAACATCTATGTCGGTTTTGCTCTATCTAGTCAGGAAATAGGTTTTCTCTGTTAAAATAGACCAATTTCGACCACCCTGTATAAGCTGGTTTAATAGCCGTAAAAAACTCATTGCAACTTTATTAGAATATTTTGAACGGGAAAGCGGTAGTAATGGCCCTTTATGTCCCTTAAGTGCTGTTAAGAAGGTGAGTTTTTTTGATGTAATTAATAACTGTTTATATATTTATAATTAATTTATTTTTGTTTCCTAAAATATTTTGATTTCCAGATGTTTTCGTTTAGTTCTCTGTCGTCTATTTCTTGATCTATTCCCTCACAAGGAGGATCAAGAAGAATAATTTTAAATAATTACTAGCTTTTTAAACGGCACCAACTTATTTAATTTAAATGGAACACCCTGTGCATTTAGCGGAATACTCTGCCACATTAAATGCAAACTTTAAATATCAACTTTTATTACATTTGAGATAAATAATTAAATTAATTTTATTTCCCCATCTTTAGATATTTATTCAGATTTTTTTATCATGGCCATAGTTAATTGGTACTCTTTTAGAAATACGTATTTAAATGATTTTCTATATTTTTAAACAAATGAGTTAAAAATATTAGCACTATTAGCATCGTTACTTTTCGTAAATTTATTATTTGTTTTAAAAACAAATCTAAAATGTCATAAAATGTCAAGATTTGTTTGATACTTTATGACATTTTATTGATAAAAAATGTCTTGAAAACAAAAATTTTCATTTTCTACAAAAACTTGAAGATATAGCCTAACAACGGTATAATACAATTTAATAGGTAATTGTAAACCTTCATTGAGAACCTCGCAATTAGTGGAATAAATTAGTGGTTTCAATTACACTTTATACTTTTTAGTTTACGATTATTCACAATATTTAAAAAACACAATTAAAATGAATAGTACATCCTAGCAACAGCTGGCATAGTCAGTTGTATCCATAGAGAGATCCTAATATTTAGCTTATAAAACAATCAACTTTTGATTTCTAACCCCAATTTCTCTTGAGGGAAGATAATCAAAGGCTAAAATGACATTTCTCGCAAATTTTGAAGTATAATTAGTGGAAAGGTTAAAAGTTTAATAACTTTTTCTACTAAGTGAAAATATCTACCATTAATTTTGACGTTCTGAATACAATTGAAATTAAAAGAACTAACTTTTACGCTAATTGAAACCACTAATGTATTCCAGTAATTGGGTGGTTCTGAATGAAGCTTACATCTAATGTTCGCAAAATATACAGGGTGTTCCATTTAAGTCAAACAAATTAGAGTCGTTTAAATTTAGTAATTATTTTAAATACATTTTTAGACACCCTGACTAAAATAGTATATACCAACACAGCACAATAGATTTTAGTAAATACCGGGTGTGTCTCAAAAGTGGCTCACCCCTATAACTGTTTTATTTTTTGTGATAAAAAAACGATACTTGGCATATTAGTATATGACATAAATTAGGATTGATTGATGTATTCAATTGTTTTTGAACACTTCCTGTTTCACCGGAAATTTTCATCTACAACTTTTGATTTTTAAAAGGCACTCTCGGTATTTTTTTACTTTATTCGATAGAAAATGACATTCTGAATAGAATTCCGATAGAAAATGACATTGTGAACTTTTTACATTCTTGCTTAATAAAAAATTGTATTTTAAAATTCAATCTAGAGTGCCATGGCTGTGTTAAAAACACTAATTCTTAGTCAAGGAGCCTTGGAAAAATAGATTTGATCATTTAATGTTTTTAGTGTCTTGTCCTGGACAGTTAGAAAATGGTCAGTCGTATTTTTCAACATATCTCAATTTTTTCAAATGGAACGAGAGTGGCTCATTAGCATATTTGGAAAAAGCATTTTTTACGAATAATTTGATACCACACACTTGATATTTCGAGTCAAATTTTCGTTACGAACCGCAAAGTATAATTTCAAATAAACCATATGCGAAAATGTCAATAGTAGACATATGATATATCGTTCTATTCAGAGCGTCATTTCCTGTCGAATAAAGTAAAAAATACCGAGGGTGCCATTTAAAAATCAAAAGTTGTAGTCATTTCCGGTCAAAGAGGAAGTGACCGAAAACAATTGAATATGTCAATCAATCCTAATTTATGTCATATACTAACATACCAAACCTCGATTTTTTAACTGTAAAATTAAAAAAGTTATAGGGGTGAGCCACTTTTGAGACGCACCCGGTATAAAAAATCGGACACATTTGGTTTGAAAACGTTAAATACGCCTAGAGGAACGAAGCATTAAAATTTGTTACTGCATTTTTCCAAAATTTTAAATATTTCATAAACGGTAAGATTTAAGTTGGGTAAACCTTGATCAAATTTACCTTTATTTTAATTGGTGGAACTAAAAATGTAATAATATACGACATATTCTATTTAGAAAATATAATTTTGATATTTTTTGAAAATACTTTTAATAATCCTGCTTAATTTTTATAATTAATTAATTTTCGTTCTTAGGGATGAGAAGTTGGTACTCCTACTTAATATTATTGAAAGTACGATTTAATATATATAACAATTTATTAAAAAGTGCTTAAAAACAACATAAAAAAAATATTATAAATTCATCAATGTAAAAAATATTGTCATAAATATTATTCATGGTTTTACAAACTCAAATACCACAGCCAATTTTTGTCTAAAATAAACAATATTACTCCTATTATTGCTGTGCACTTTCTTCTGGTTGTGGATGGGCAGCTATATACTCCAAAGCCCTGGCAATAGCTGCTGGTACTTCAGGTCCCACAGGCACATCGGAACCTTGAGGCACAAACCCATTCTCATCTGCGGTGTAGGTCAGAGCGTGTTGGCCTCCTTCTGGATCTGTCCATGAAACGGAACCTTGAATGGCTTCGATGGTACCGTTTTCTGCAGGTTTTGGTACACCGGATTGCTCCTGTTTGGTACCGTCACCCGATTCAAAACTCCACTTAAACGAACCGTCTGGTTGCACCTCGGAATCTTGAGCTAGGATTGGTACTGGCTCTTTGGATTCTGGTACTGCTGCACTGAACACTACGGCCAGAAGAGATGAGATCAATACGGTTTTGAAGAACATTTTTGGTAATGTGTTAAACTATTTGAATCAATTCACAACAATAGAAGCTGAAGAAGTATGTGTGAAATATATATGTGGAGATCTGATACCCTACTCCTTTTTTTTCTTGTATGATAGACGAAATAATTAAGATTCATAGTGACGAATGTTTATTTGTGGTGGCGTTGTTATAAAATTGGGGACCTTGTAATATCGATTAAGTGTAAAGAAGTACCACGAAACATTATTGAATAAACTATAAGACGTCGCGTGCTGTTTGTTCCTAAAAAATATTGCTAATATTTGAAGACGAGAAGGCGTGACATTTTCTAATTATGAAATATTTTCATACATTTACTATGCATAATCCTACATTATTCTATAAAAGTTTATTATGTAAAATTTTGTGTAATTAAATTTGGTTTAAGTTTTGAAACTTTTCAATGAACTGATATATTTGTCCTATTTTGTGTTTTGAAAATTCTGAACCTAAAAAAGCTGTCATTGAGTACTGGTGTTAAATTCAAATATATGGCTTTATACACGAAAAAGGTTGTGTTGTGAATAGTGCTACAATTGTAAAATCCTTTGTTGCAAACTGTAGTAGTATACAGGGTGTCCCAGGCTGAGCGTGCATTAGAAGTTTCTAGAGAACTACAAGATCTAGATCGGAGATTTTTTTCACATCATTGTTTTACAACGAGATCTATCTATTAAAAATATTTTAAATATAGCGGCACTTCCGAAAATAGCGGAAATTGACAGTAACTTTCTTATTTTAAATGGGTGCCCCCATTTTTTATTACATACTTAAATTCTCTCTAAAATTCTACGAATATTGATGTTAAACACTAACATTAACTGTTTTTGCGAAAAAAAAATATTTAAAATTTTTGGATGAAAAAAACTACATAAAAAAATTGTATAATCTAAAAGTCAAATGTAGTGATTACCACAGCCACTGTGACATAAAGAGAAGACCTGTGGCTATCTATTTCAAAAATTGAATTGTTCAAATGTCATGTAATAAGGGCGGTAGCTGTTATGGAATAGAGCGATTAAAAAATTATCATAAATTATTTTTTTTTAAATGGAAACCCACTTTTTTATTTCACTAGTGCAAAGGTTTTCCAATTCGTTACTTTTTATACATGTTCGTATAATATTTAAAATACATCGTTTTTAAGTTATTTAAGATTTAGTTTGAAAACGTATAATTTTCTTGATTTTACCTAGCTTCTTCTGACATTAAGTGTCAAACAGTCAGACAATTTATTTTCATCTGTCAGAAAACGAATTATTTGAATTTTCTATATTATAGATATACTGCCTGCCTAAGAGTTTAAAAACTGTATTTATAAAAATATACCTCGTATTTTCGCTTTTTAGTGATATGTAATAGTTGATATAAATATAATACCGTATGATCGAAAAAAAACGGCGTCCAGTTGGCTTGGAAATGACGATCAATGACATTTCCCATATAATTTTACATATAAAATGACAGCGATCTTCATTTCATAGCTGACGCCGTTTTTATTCGATCATACGGTATAACGATATATGATCGAAAAAAGACAGTGCAAAGTTTGCTCGGAAATGATGATCGATAACATACTGCTTTTTGAACAAGTGTCACAATATGACATGGCCAGATCTATTGTTTTACATCACTTGACGTTTACGTCAAAGTAGAAAAATGAGTACTTTCGAACATGCTTCGGTTAAGTAGAGCTGTAGCATCATAGAGACTAAAATACTCAACAAAGTATCTGAGAAATTAATTTAACTGTAACTGTAAAACATTTTACTATGTTAAATTTTCTTTGCGGTTCAATGCGCTTTTCCAAATCCAGGCCGGACCGCCCCTAACACTTAAAAATCCGGACAAACCAATTTACCCGTTGCATATACAATTAGCATGGGCTAAAGTCTCTCCAACGAGTCTGGGAATATATCGACAGATGACATTCAAAAATAACAGATAATATAATTTACTTCTGAAATAAACCTGACAGGCACAACTGTCACTGTCAAATACCATTGGACAGACTTATATTCATAAAGCGGACGTTATAATTGACAACAAAATAAAGAAAAATAATTCACAATTCACATCCACGAGTGCACCGATCAATCGATATTTCAAATGATTAATACATTATGAATATAATCATTTTGGTATAATGTTTCTAAATAAGGCACAATTAAAGGTGTTCAAAAATTACGCGTCTGATTGGCCTGGTGTGCCCAATACTAAAAATAATAACTTCATTACTCAATACAAGCAAATGTTTAATTTTCACGTCACCAATGCAGAAAGATGAATGATCTTTGGTGTGAAGAAACGACGTGGGTGTAGGTATATGTGTTTTTTGGAATGTTGTAGGTATTATAAGCTAGTAAAATAAAATAATTTCGTAACATGTCACAAATGTATGTAACTATAAATCGGGTATAGAGATGAGAGAGCCTTCAATAAAATCAATATGATCAATCAACTTTAAAATGACTATATGTATAAAAAACACCATATAACTCTTATTCAATTCAAATAATGTTGTCTAAAATTGCTTATATAAAATTACGGCATGATCGAAAAAAAAACGGCGTCAAAGACGGCTGCGGAATGACAATCGATGATAATTTTGGCCAGATCAACTTAGGTAACCTAACCTAGTGTAGAGGTAAAACTTAACACTTGGTTAGGTTAGGTTGCTGAGGTTTGGGATTCTGGTTGATCCCTCACTCGGAGGCTTTGGGCCCTCGATACCCTATTAATAATAAATAATAAATGCCTTTACTGTCAAAAAATTTTTCAATTTGTAGACAAAGGTAAACTAACAAACAAAGTAAAAAAACAAGGTACACAAACAAACAAACAAAAGATAATACAAAATATTATACAAATAATATTGTCAGTCTTATTGTTAAAATAAACATTTATAAATGTTTATAATGTCAAAGAACAAAAAATAAAAATAATACTCAAAAATATTTAGCTAGTTTATAGTAAAATATCAATGACCTCTAAATAAATTCATTTCGATGTCATTAGTAAATATAGCAATAGCAAACATTAGACAAGTATTTACAAGATCAAATTTGATTTTCAAAATATAATTCATTTACGGCGTAGAAAGCCTTGTCTAGTAAATAAGAGTTCAATGCTTTGCGAAATGAAAAAAATGATGTTATGGATTTGATTTCAAATGGCAGGTGATGAGTATTATTGCGATACCCCTGCATTATTGTACCTTCCTCTCAGCCTTTCTTTGCGTTAAATCACTTCCAGCTCTTTGCCAAGTTCCCGATGTCGCTGATGTTGACATCTGCTGCTTCCTCTAATCCCTCCAAAAAACTCTGCCCTAAAGTTTTAAAGCGTCGGTATTCCAATGCCGGATACACAGTAGGTGATCTATGCTAAAACTTAACACTAACTGAGGAGCAGACTTTCTAGATGCATTTTGTCCATTTTTTCGAATTTTGGAAAACAAAGAAAAACTGCCACACTTTTTGCAAGAAAGTTACCGAAAAACCAGCATACTTGAAAAATAGACAAAACATCAAAAAATAGTACACCTACATGTGAAAAATTTAGTTTTGATGATATCTGAAAAAAACTGAAAAAAAAACCTGTTAACTGTCTTTTAGACGTGAACTTTCTCTTTATTTTTCTGCTACCACGGTCCGTATCCCCAACTACATGGTCCCCAGTCGTAGTTCCAATCATTATTTTAAGTAGTATTATTCAAAAAATAAAGAAGTTGTAGTACAAAAAAAACTCTTCATTTGGCAGTGACAAACACCAGTATGTCCAGAGCACACAAGAACATACTTCTGTTTGTTTGTCTACCACCAATGGACATCGAAAGTCTTATTTCTATGTCCGGTTATCGCTAGTGGCTCTCAAAATGTTGCTATTATTTTTTTAAAATTTTAAAGTTAAATAACTCGGTTATTTTTAATTTATTTTAAAACTGATAAAGAGAAAATATGGTTCTTTTGACCAGATCTACCACTCCTTAAAATACTTGTGTTTATTTCTAGGACACCCTGTATAGTTCGCAAAGTAACCAGCTTGTACACTAGATGCGGGTTACTCGCTATTTTGCAAAAATAGGCGGATTCTTTCAAAATATCAGCCCTTCTTGTTAGTTTGTAAATTAATATTGATTATTATATTAATCAGGTATTAAAAGAATATCAAAATGATTGATTTAACTTCAAATACCATTCACTGTAAATTTGTGAAGGATTCCTAAGTAAATATGTAAGAATATTCAAATAAAATTCTTGCCAATATTCATCTTAATTAGTTGACTTCATTAAGAATCTGTAAACAAACTCTCAATTTATCTAGTGATTCACTAATTAACATTGAACACCTTATGTAAAACGCATTTTACAGAATTTCTTATGTGAAGCAATAACATTTGTTTAAATAATGCTACTTGTTTGTGTTAATTTTCAGTACCTAGGTGTTATGTTTTCGTAAAAGAGACGCTGAAATAAAAAAAAATCTGCGTTTTTAAAATTAATTAACTTACTTAAATTTTAATTATTTAATCATTTATTAGCACGTGTAAAGGCCATTTTTTATGATTCTTCTTGGTACCGTATATTAGTGAGAGCTATATTTTATTCCTGTGTTGGGCTGAGATATAAATGTAAATTAATTAATGATTTGATATCATAATAAATAAATTCTACAGGAAACTCCTCACGGTGATACATATCTACTAACACAACATTGTTCGAAAGTATCTATACAGGGTATCATTGAAATAAGTGCAAGGATTTTAAGGGGTGGTAGATCTGGCCCAAAGAAACATATTTTCTCTTTACCATTTATAAAATTAATTGAAAATAATCTAATTATTTAACTTTGAAAACTAAAAAAAAAAAAATAATGGCAACATTTTGGGCTTTTCATCTTATTCTACGCTCTGTGTTGCCAATGGTCAAAAGAAGTATATGCAGAATCGCAGAATCAATTAGTAAATTCCAAAGTATCCGAAGGGTTTTGCAAAGATACGTTACTTTCTTAAAGGTGT